TTAAAATTAATTATTAATCGATTAATAATCAATTATTAATCCATTATCGATTAATCAATAATTAATTGGTTTATGTATTTTATTTTTTAAAAAAAACTTTAAGTATGACAGATTACATCAACCATGTCACGTGTTGATTAGATTGCTGATTAGATAACAAACATCGCATGAAGCTATTCGCATTGCGCATCGTACATACTTAAGTGCCTAAATACCTTCTTATACGCAACACATTGCAATTACGAATTAATCCCTGTTTCCTTATTATTTCGTGGATGAAATGCCTCATATTTTGTAATTGAATTGAATTGAATTGAGTTGAATTGAATCTAATGTGGGACCTTAAAATTTAACCAATCAAATCTTGCGCTTAGGCTGTTGGATCCAAGGTTTAAACCTTTGCCTTATTGGGTTAGACTTTGGGCTGATGGTCCAGGATAACTTTGGGATGAGCTGCGCCCTCTTAAAGATCCATTGATTCCGCTCAGATTACCTTTGGGATTACCTTTGGCTATTTTGGCTGCTTGGGCTTCCGACACGCGATAACAATTCATTACCAACACGTATTCATAATCCATTCTGCATAAACGAATCCCATCCTCTTAATTAACTTTACCTACCTAGGTAGCCTAGGTAGCCTAGGTAGGTATACCCAATACATATTTAATTGTAGCCGTTGAAACAGCAGAGCGGTTATGTCATAGCAAGATATTTCTTATTCCCCATATGTAATCATACAATGGAGGAGCAGACGATGGCCACATGGTTCACACGGCTCTTCATGTGGCCCATATGTCCGTATGTATGGAACCTAGGGCATTAGGTAAGTTTGGGCATCTGAGATAATGAATGCCTTGGGAATAAGTAAGGCTAGGGGTAAGTGACTTATCATTTTCGCTTGTGTTTATCTACAGCAGTGAGTTTGCCAACGAAGCGAGTTGCATATGATTAATTTTTGATCCTATGTTGTATTATTTGGTGACGGAAAAGCATGCGTAAAACATACATATGTATTGTCGTCAGTGCGCAAGGTGTATATTCCTTGCCTATCGCGTCTATTGCCACGTAAAAATCGGATGCGGTTATATGCAGAGGAACTATCGAAAAACAAGTCAGTAATAATGCTCAAGCTTATAGGAACGCATTTCGGAAATAAATGTCATTCGTCATTTTACAACATTTCAAATACGAATTGGCAGTCGAAATAAACGCGCCTCCATCTACAACGTATTTACAGGCAATTCGAATATTTAAATGGCATACAGGTAATAATCACTTACAAATAGATACCTAAGTGCATCACTAGATATGTACCTAAGTGGGTGTAAGTGGATGGTGTATGTAAGTGTTTGTCTCAAGTCGCAAATCCTCCAAAGTTGATGCTATGGAAAGTTCTTGACAAGTATCTAAATGTACCTTTATTATCGCCGATGATAAAGGTGACAAAAGTTGTACATCGTTTTACGTATTCAAGCTTTTAACCGCATGTCTTCCCATGTCTTCTTCTCGGTCCCTGAATTAACAATACCGAATCCCTGCTCTTTCTAATGTGTCTTTATGTCTCTTTACGGTATTACTAATAGTCACTTCCGGCTGTGTAACCCCCAAACAGCAACTTCGCCGCTTCCTTTTGGTGACCTTCCCCTTACAGTAGCATCCTCTGCAACGGCGAGCGCCAGTTGGTTTTGTACCAGCCCCACATAGGCAAAACACCACAAATCGAGGTCTCGGATCTGTTTTCCATCAATCCATCGCCCATCGCCTTACCTACTGCGTGCGGCATTACACGGCCCCCACATCCATCTGCTTGGTTTCGATGTAAGAGCCCTAAACCAACCTTAAAACACTTCAAGATACATATATGTATATAACTACATAACTACGTGTAATGTTTGTGTAGTTCTACCTTTTCAACTTGCCTGTCTCGGTTCATGTTCGTTCGACTCCAGATCGCGCACACGATCTTATCTCAATAAGCTACCCAGCTACCTTCTATATCTAGTCGGGCGCCGCGACCGGATTTACGGAAGCGATGTGCGATTGACGAACCAGCAAGGCTAAGCAGATCTAAGCCTGGCCTATCTCAGTCCAAGTTGGCCTCCGTCCTATAATACAATGAGACTTACACCTATGTACAGCTTACCCTATCATTACCCTACTCTTATTTATCATCATTTATCATTCTATACTAAAACTGCAGGGTCCTTTCCAGAAGCATATTCCCAGGTGCTCAGCCTCATGAAATATCTCAAGACACGGCGCCTACGTCCAATCGTTTCACCAATGACAGTCCAATCGACGTCAATCATATTCTTGGAACTCTTCACCGCTCCTATTCGGGTCAGCCGCCAACCGCCAGCCTTACTATGATCCGTTTTCATTATTTGCCATCCAGGCTCGTGAGATATAAAACTTACTCTCGGATCGCCGAAATTTCCGCGGCTCGTCCGGGGCTACATACTCAGTAAAAAGGTATCTTTTTACCGAGCCTTTGATGACGCTAGCATAATACCTCGGGAAGTAATAGACACTTCTGACTACTACAAATAATCGCAAGTATCATAGCATTGTGATCTCACAAGACATATATACGTTCCGATTTATACGGAATATGCCGCACCTAGTTCGGTTACCGCCTCGGTCTGCCCTGGTTTGACTTGGCTTGAGTCCGCCGCAGCCAAGAATATTCCCGACGTTCGCAAGGCTTCTACCCGGTACGGCAGGTTGTCGTCATCTTCTACCAAACTTCCTGCATTGCTTCGCCCGTCAACGCGGTTTCTATATTTGTCTCGGCTCGGCGCGCCTATAGATGAACAGACATCGTGCGATTAGAGTCGTATTCCTAGTCCCGCGAATATGATCGACAATCACAACTGAGAAGGAGCCTTAAACGAGACATAGGACCGATGCAGGCCTGATAAACAAGTCTATAGTTTTGGTTTGGATGCTCCCCATTGTTTTAACTGTAGCTAATTAAGTATCGTGTAGCCTCTCGATGTACTATCTGGGATTAAAAGTTCCCAGCTGATCTGACGTGTCCCTAGGATGAGCGTCTTTGACGGAGAACAAGCGCAGATGCCGAACGTTCGAGCAAAGCAACAGTAGAAACTACCGGTCGTGAGATTCTATTCTCGAACGATCTGTACTTGAAGAAATTACTAACAATAAATCAAGAGCCCAATTTGCCAAAGCTTTCCAGGTTTATCGCTCGTCTATGAACGTCCGAACTGAGCAGGCCTCTAATGCACTGACAAGTACTCCAAATTACGACAATCTCTTCATCCGAAACTTCAACGCTTACCATGGTCTACCTCGTCTCGCCATTTCAAGCCTGGCCTAAGTTTAGGCTTCCACGAAACCATCGTGGCACCTCACGTCCCGTACAGTCTAAAGGGGGCCGCGCGGACCGGGCTAGCTGAGAAGGGGGGCATATGCGACGATTACCACAGCAGGCACCTACGGAGCCTCATGCTCCTTTATCCCCACCATCGTGCTGCCAATTCGTAGTGAAGTCTATAGGACATACTTTACACTAGGTACTGTGGAAGCCATTACGTCCTGCGCCAACAAAATTCACAGCCGGCCTAGGCACAGGTTAGGACATGGTCGTCTCACTAAACGCCGATCACTATACGCAGGGACGCAGCCGTGCTGCCTAAGCATAAGTTTCCACCCTTCATGTGGACACAAGCCATCGTGACCGTCTGTGAAATCGCCACATGACGTACCCATACCAACGGGTCACATGAGGCTGGAAGTCAGCTATAATAAAAAACGAAATAGCCGAAGCCGTATATAAATATAATAAACAATCAACTCAGAACTGTACTCATAATATATATATATAAGCAAGCCTCTCAGGCAACCACATTTGCCACGCCACGAATCAGATCGCGGTGACAGGCGACTTGTCATATAGGTAGGCATCTAGATAGGTAAATTTGAATAGGCTGGCGGGCTTGTACAGTATATCAAGAGATAGAAGTATGTATTGTCGAGACGTCTTCTCCAAAGTCCTAATAGCGGTGTCTACTCCGGTGCGGGAGGTTTGTGTCAAGATGTTAAATAAGTGCAAGGTAGTTGTATAAAGGTATGTATTATAGCGTATTATAACTTTATCTTCAAACTCGGTCGTTTTCAATGATTTTAGGACGAAGGCCTACTAATCAAGCCTTCGTCTATAATGTATATTTCACTTCAACAGCTCACCTTGCACGATTCCGACAAGCTGTCCGTTTCAGGGTAAGCTTACCTTGCATAAGTGAAGGCTATACCATACCCTGACAGAGACCCAGCTCTCCACTCTCCATCATCGATTTATAATGAGACCTAAAGCTACAATCCTTTAACATATACAGCCCAAGCACTACAATAGTAATAAGCCCCATGACCTTTCTTGAACCCCTTCAAAATAACCATACAGGAAATTTTAGTTGCCTAACTATATTTAGGCATTGATTAATTCTACTAGTTTTTTTCTTTCCGCAAGAGTTCTGATAATATGCACGATTACTTCACCTTTCCAAATCTCATAGAAGCAAAGCATCATATTATTCATAAACATATATACAAGGATTGACGCTTGGTTAGAGATTCTCTCTTCACCATGACACTGGTAACTCACACAACGAGCCAGAAACAAACGCCGCTTTAATGCGCGACAAATATAGTCAGTCTATTAACTCCGTGAAGGCGGTAGACCCAAGGATGCTATGTTATTTCCGCCCTCGGAGCCCACTGACCTACTAACCTGGCAAAATACTTGACAGGTTATGTCCCACGAGACCCCCAGGCGCTCTCCTGCCTCTCCTATGAGACTAGCTGTCATTCCGTGATTGTCATAATGCGTGCTGGTCATGCCTGATAAGAGGAATACTATGTATAGATGCTATATTGTTTCCATTATAGGAAACTATCGCAGTTCCGTCTCGAATACTCCATGTCATGCCGTAATTGCATAGACGGATATTCCGTCATGACCTTCGTGAATTGCTAGTAAGCCATTGCTCACTGGTTAACGTACTCTAGGTATCAAGGTTTTCCCTTTCTCTTCAATGTATCAGGGCGAAGATCTTCACTTGGAAGACTCCTGGATCCATTAGCGTAGTGCCCTATTTAGACACCAACAATCGATGCCGTCTAACTAGGTGAGCTTAATCTTATCGTCTTCACCAATGTGGATTTCCGCTGCGTCTTCGGAACCCGCATCATTCTCACCCTCGGGTGCAACTTTGTGGATCGTGTTCTTCTGATCCCAAATCTGGTGCATATCGTCCTGGGTCATTTCACCTCGGTAGTTGGGGGGCGGAATTTCACTATACGAGGGTAGATTGGTCTCGGGTTGTGACAGTTCATAATGCGACATCCCCGGATATTCTGGCTCGTGGTCTGGCTCGAAATCCATCTCACGGGGACTGAGCACCCGTTCATCACCAGATGAATCGTGTTGTGCCACATCCGAGGCCGCATCCGAGTCAAGGGGACTCTCCGAGGGGGGGTTTTCGATATCCGCGATATCGTTAGGCGCAAGGTTGTCAAAGCTCCAAGAATTACCATTTGTGAGCGGTTGGAAACCTGCTGGTTGTACTGTGTCTTCGGTTAAGCTTATGCCTTCATCCTCTTCGATGCTTCGGTGGACATCTTCGGAGGGATGCTCGAGGACATCGTCGATGGTCTTAATGTCCCAGCTACTATTTGCGTTATTCAAGGTAAAGCCATTTGTCGATTTACCACCAGTGCTTCCGCGCAGGTGAGTAGCTCCTGCTCCTTGTAACGCGCTCGACGACCCAATCTGGGAGAAGCCTTCGCCGAGACGCTGATCTTCCCCCGAATCAGGGAGTTCGCTGTCGGAACCATCATCTTGGAACCTATCCAAGATTTGCTGGAAGCGAGGCCCACCAAGGGGGATTTCAGATCGTCGACGATAGAACAGCAAATACGCAGATGAGTCGACAATTCTATCAGGAGACGCTCGCGATACCGACGAATCTAGAAAGTTTAGCAATTATACAACAGAAGCCAGTTGGGTAATACATACCATTATACGTATACCAGTGGCCGTCCACAAAGTTCTTCGCATGAGCAGTGTAGTGACCGCCTCCCAGGCCTCCCCAGTGGCAGTCAACTCCGATCAGATCGTAAACTTCCTGTTTACCATCTTCCTTTTGGAGAACGCGAGAAGTTATGTCCAGATTCTCAAGAGGGAAGTCGACCAAAACTTCTAATTTGTCTCTTCTAAAACCACTAGAACTAAATCTCTTCAAATGAATGACGAGAATGTCTGGAGTCTTCCACAGGTCAAATTTCTTGCTAGCACGCCTGTGCTCCTTGCAGCGAGGACAATACCACATATCTTGTTCAGAAAGGATTTCTTCTCGCTCAAACTCGTCGAGACATGCCTCAAGAGAGATACCGTTCTTACGACTCCTAGTCCGAGCTGCTTGGGCTTTGTCTAGCTCGGGGTCGGGTAGAGTCTCACAGGAAACCCATGTTGCGAGTGAGTTGTCATTGGCTGGTGCGCTACTATCAGTAAAGGTGCGATCATAAGCAATATCAGACCAGTCGATAATGAGAGCTTCCCTGAGGCGGATTAAGGGACCTCCATCGGGACCAGGTTCGCCTATATTAAATGATTCTTCCAGTTCTATACTGTGATGCTTCTCCTTTGATTGGCGTTGTTGCTGACGTAGCTTCTTCTTGGCCCCCTTGCTGTGGTTCTTGAACGCCTTCTGTTGCTTGTTTTTGCCTTTAGCCCGTCCGTTCTGTTTAGAGCGGTGGTGGTTCGGCTGGTTATATGTCAGTACTGAATTGGGACAATGCTTTTTTGTAGGCTGAAAGTTTAGGCCGCCCCAATGGGTTTGGTCGGAACATACCTTAATGATCGGGCTAGCATCCTCGTCATCGCTTTCGTCTTGCATGCGTGTGTAGGAGTGATCAGTACTTCGTCGCGGCGCTTCGTCTGAACTGGACTCTTCATTAGAGGCCGTGCCATTGGTTGCATTGTCGAACTGGTCTTCCGATGAACACTCGGGTAGAACTCTGGTCGAGAGTTTCGGATATTGCCTGTCATCATTGATGCCGCTCATGCCAGTCGGTAACCATGCTCCTGATTCCGAGTAGTAGCAAATATCAAACATATTCTGAAGAATGGAAGGGAGGAACGACCCCGGTACTATCCAAGCCGGCTTCTTGTGACAGAATTGCTTGCCGGAAGGGTTGCTGAAAATGAGTTAGCACTGTTTATTAACCTTACCAAGGAACTATTTCACATACCTTCGGACTCCGCCATCTTTCATCTGTACGTCAACCATGTCGTCCTCACCTTTAACGGATTGGGCAACGACCCTACCTTCATTAGAACCTGTGTCAGAGCTCATCCCTATAATGTCGAGATCAGTGTTATCGGACCCCTCCGAATCCTCCCCACGTGTGGAAAGAGGATATTTTGTTAGCGTTACGACCTTTTCTAGGACCTTGCGGCGAATAGCATCCTCGCTCTTGGCTTCTTCGGGCGTGATAATAACAAAATGAGGGGCGCAGGCCTGTGCCCATCTACCCTGGTGAAAACTGGATTTTGAAGGCGCTGGACGCCGGTGGAAGACGGGGACAAGTAGCTTCTCAGCTTGCTCGTCGTTCCACGAAGCCGAGGCATTGTGCTCCTCCTCATCAACCATGGATCTGACTGCTACTCCATACTTCTGCTGTTTATGCGGCTTAGCACCGTAGTTTGTAGGCTTAGCCTCCAGCTCGAAGAACCAAGCATTGTCGTTGTGTGCAATCTCTTCCGAGGCGCAGGAGACGTCAGTATAATACTTATAGAACCTGCCCTTCCATTCTTCCGCGCCAAACAAGCGTTCAGCCGGCACGCCGGTTTTGGTAGACAGGAACTCCTTCAGAGATTTGATGCTGGCATGCTTGTCAAGCTCGACTCTGATGTCGACTGGCCGATCATTTAGGGGGAAGAACTTGACGGTGTGACTCCACTTGTTTTCCACGGGTAGAGGTAGGGTTAGATTATTGAACGGGTCAAATGTGATGCTAACCTTCCGACATTCCGGGCAAACCAGTGTCGATTTGTATAAGCCAGTGAATAAATCGCCTATGACGGAGTCATCACGTTTCTTGGTAATGTCCCATACTTTAGCTGCCATTTCTCGGATTGCGGCAGGGTCGTTAACCATTTCATCGGTCGAGTCCGGCTTCTCGATATAAGGCTTCTTCTTGATCCGACTAAGATCTTCTTGCAACCCATCCAGCAAAAATCCAAGAAACTCTTGTGAGTCTTGCTGACCATAACCCGAAAATCCCGTAGAATATCGACCGATTGTGGTTTTAAATTGACGGGGCGAGACGGAACCCGGCGACGAATCTTTATAAAATTCCTTCAGTAAGTGGGCATAAGCAGCAGCCACATCGCCATTGTGAGAGAGGACATTTTCCTTATTGAGTTCTAATTCCCATTCTCCCGAGAGGAAATACTTGGTTAATTCCTCAACGCTCCTGACGCACTGAAGGGCCGCGTTCATATAACACGTATTACCTAAGTTTGCTAATCCCACGCACCCGGGGACCTTACCAGACTTAGCTCTACCACGTGTGAGAGCCCCCTGGGATACTGGACTAGTGCGTCCGCTTCTAGCGTTCCGGTTTTGTACGGTTAGATTGTTAGAGCTATTTCTAGATGGTAGCGATGTTCGTGCTTGAGAAGACGTTAGAGTCGACGTCCAAGTAGAACCACTTTCATGAGGGTCCAAGACAATGGCTTGATCCTGCGCAATACTGAAGTGGCCTAGCGTCTTGACAGATTTCTGATTTGGCTGATCTGTTCGATCACCGAAATCGATGAGCTCTCTTTCTGATTTTCTCTCGAGGGCTAGAAATGATTCGACGTCCAAGAGAAGATGGTTCCAGGCTTGGGAAGTGTTAGGTTTCGTATCATCTTGAGAAGCGAAGAGAGTGGGCACTGGATTACCTGATGTTTGGCCAATAGGTGGCTGCAAAACGCTCCAAGCTCGAACTCTTTGCGATAAATCTATTCCTGTGACTCTTTTTGCCTGTTTCAAGAAGGTCTGGAAATTTGTTGAGCGACTACGTGCAAGTCTTGAAGGTGGCGGGTTCGTAGCCTTCATGGTTGCTTCGATCGGCAACTCGCTATTGGCAGACCAGAGTCGATATATCGACAGTACAGGCGGATGCCACTCCCACATGACATTTTTGCCATCGTCCGTTGTAGCATGTGCCAAACGGAGAATAGGCATTTGGTCCTCTTTCAACCCGGGCCATTTGATAAGAAGATCCCAGGCATCTTTAGGGAAAGGTTCAAATTGCTCCGAATCGTAACCCGGCTTCAACCGAACGAACTTTTTCTTTAGAACATCTACCACGCCACTACCGACACAAGGATCATCTATAACCTCTTGAATGATATCCGAGTTATCCACTGGTGGTATTGAGGCCCAGTCCTCGATAGTATGTTTTGGTGATAAATCGTCCGGCACGTTAGCTAGCCACATTTTTGAGACTAAGAAACACTCCTGGCCTTCTGTAAGTGGGCGCGTGTTTTGCTCTTCCACAAACACTCTGATAGCTTTCACGTGGGCCTCTATGGATTCTGGTGGTTGACGTGCTTGAAATTGTGAAATTAGCCTATGCCGCTTAGTTCTGCTTATTTTCGACCTACATGGTGATACGTCCATCGGCTCAACAGTTTCTTCAGCCGTCACATCGGCGTTGCCATCCACTGCGGGACCTGCATCGGTTGTAATTTGACCGTTAGGTTGTTCGGATTTAGATGTGTCCGGAGCATCGGACGGCGGCGCCGTAATCATATCGACATCTTCAGTTGCATCTTGGTCTGCAATATCAGGTTCCATACTGGAGGCGCGTCGTTTTAACGGGGAGGAGGCTCTATCTGGGAATTCAACGGCACCGCCCATGACTGCACGATGATAGGTGATTTTGGTAAATGGTGAGCTGCCCCTTCCAGAATATATATTAGAAGAGGCGGAGCTGGGTTCGAGCGTTGGGTTGTCGGGACCACAGTCGCTATCGATTGTTAGCGCAGCGCAGGCACCAGAGGGAGAGCTCGCGGCGGATGAGGCGTATTCGGCGTAGCTAAGGGAGCTAGTATTGGTTTGTAATCGAGGGGGGAGGCTTGATGCCGGCGGGACAGAGTTGGCGCGGCGGGAGTTGGCGGTCAAGTTATCGAAGGAAGAGTAGAATGAATAGTTCGGATCGGTGTCTAATTCACAGGATGGTAAAGGTGTGTCCGAGGAATTGCTACTGTCTAAGCTCTCGTCTTTAGTGGATTGGCGGTTTGTAATCTTCCGTTTCTTTGAGGAAGACGTCTTGGCGGCGAGCTGCCTTGAGCAGCTCTGGGAGAATCAGTGGTAATATGGTGGTGAAAGGTTGCGCTTATGAGCAAGAGGTCGTATGAATGTGTAGAAGGAATCTTACACAAGACACTAGATGATTGTTCGCTTGACGCGAGAGGTGTGTGCTCATTGGTCGGTCGTGCACCTTTAATAAGGAAAATCTGAGTTTCCGGGCAGACGATCTAGTACTTCTGACAATGATGTCTAATACTTGCTTGTCAGACAAGTCCTGAAAGTCTGGTTCTGTATAGGTTAAGGTTAGGATTGGTTAACTTTGATTTGGACCAATAGCTCAACTACCAGAATATTCTATTTCTTGTTGGGAGAAGGGAAAAAAGGAAGGTGAAATTCCTTTGCCTTGAATTGATGCACGCAAATTATGTTGCGTCGTTGTGCTGAAGTGTGCAGTGTGTAGTGTGCAGTGAGCAGTGAGCAGTGAGCAGTGCGCAACAGCGGTCAGTTCTCTGTGGGCGCTTTGCTGATTGGCATCAAATACTTTGGGGTTCGCCTTAGAAAAAATTGTTCCAATGGAAGGCAGCAGCTAGGTACTTGTGTACCACTACACTCCAAAGGCAGGTACTTTATCAGCACAGCGGGTACAAAGGGCACAGTTTTACACGCTGAACCTGCCACTAGTTCCGATTGGCAAACTCTACCTGTTACCCGGGTACATTTACCTTTTCATGTATCGTGTAACTATATGTAGTCAAAAAGCCACTAAACACAGATACCTATACCTAGGTACCTAGGTAGGTAGTTATCCAGACAGGTGAATTTGGAAAACCATGTATGATCAAACACCAAGCGTGTGCTGTTCGACCCAAAATGATTATACCAAAATCGGAATAAATCGAAGAAACAAGGACAGGTGTGGAACGTAGGTAGTGTCGTATGAATTTATGTATGATGTATGTTATTTTAGAACTGCATGGAGGGGAAAGGGCATGTGCGACACAAAATACCCAAGTTATTGTTACCGGCGCAAAGACAAACTGACAATTGACCTTGGCACCAATATTAACAACTAGAAATAAATTGGAAAGTATATTGATATTTTATTAGGTACTCTATACAGGACAAAAGCACCTTCCAAGTAACGGACTAAACGGACTATATACACCGTATTTCTGGGCACATTGTCTTAGTCATGTACTTAGCTAAAGTAAATAACCTTGAACAACTTCTTTTTTTAAAGCTTATCTGAATAACCCTATTTCTCGTTTAAGGGCTGCAGGTGGCTACGTGCATCGTCACAAGTAAATACCCGCCATTTGTGGCCTACGTGAACTTACCTACTTATACATAGGTACCTAACTCGAGTCTCTTCAAAGCCTGGTTTACATCCACAGGTATGTAGGTATAAGATCGCTCATCATGTATGTACCTATGTATCTAAGCAGCCATTGTCTCTAGTTTTCTGCGTCTACTTCTAATTGCCCCCAGGTCTCGAGTTCTTTTTTTTCTCGGTCCGGCCGCACGCAGACTAAAAACCAACAATAAAACACTTCCCGCTGGGTAACTTCTAGAGAAAGTCTAAGGAACGCATGATCTATCTGGGTACTCATGCGATTTCATTTCACTTTGAAATGTATCGTACTGCCCAGAAGCCAAATACGCTGTAAATGTACTATGCAAATGGATGGGTATAGCACTTTGCGTTCTAAGTTCTACCAAACGCTTCCTCGCAAAAATTTTGTCTCAAAGCTTGGAGTCTATTTCCTCAAAGTCTCTGATGTCCCTAACCGGACGAGCTCCTGGAGTTACTGAAAGTCCCGCTTTGAAGTCCCGCACATTTCGTATCAAGACGGGCTCTGTACCATTTGACCAAAGTGTAGCTGTGTCTCCGTTTGTCGACTCTTCGACCTCCTTCGCTTTGGGGCTAACACCCTGAGCGATGAGCTGTACGACCAATTTTGCCCGGGTTGGTGATGTGGGCTGGATATAGGTTGAGTAGAACTCTATCATCTCTGACTTTGTAAGTTCCTTAACTTGGGCTGCATCTCGTTGGGCTGTACACATGCTGTTAGTTGTTTATGATGACGTGTAGGGGAATAATGATAACAGCATACCTGATTCAAAGTCATAATATTCATTGCTTATGTGCGTCCAGTGACGACCGGTCTCTTGGTCCAGATTCTTTAATTTCTCAAGACGCTTAATTATCACGCTCCTCTTGTGACTTTCAAAGTCTGTATCGCTCATATTTTCTAGAGAACTTGTCTGTGTAGCTAGGAAGGAGTCGATTCGAGATTCCAAATATTCGGTAGTGCGCTCGCTCTGTATTATAAAGCGGAACCCATACGTAGTAGCAGAACTTCGAAGGCCACTGAAGACAACGTAGCCAAGCTGCTCTTTAGTCCGTAGCTGATCAAAAGCCGGCTCGTGAATGATCTGATCAAGAAGTTGCGTCTTTGCACGGATCAGGCGATCTCCTTTATCGCCGATGTGGAGATAATACTCGATGCAGTGATTGACGTTCGCCGGATCCTTGAGGGTCTTTTTGAAAACGTAGTTTGACCCTGGGGGGAAATCTAATGACCGAATGATACGCCACTCCTCCTTCGGTAGGACTCGGGGCTTTAGTATCTTTTCGATCATGTCTGTTAGCTTGAGGGCATCCTCCTTATACACGTTTCCGTGAACATAAGCCTCAATGTGCAGCTGTGACATGATCTGCTTGTAGAACTGTCTTACGTCTTCGGCTGTAATTCCGGGCAACACGGCGACCAGTTGCTCAACCACGTAATCGTGTTCGGACGTAAGCCAGGATACGTAGTCGCCAATCTGTGTAAAAGGCTGCTGTAGTTCACAGTTTTTGTAACCTCGAGTCAGCCTCTCCTTGATGATCTCAAATCGTTCGTCCTTGACCTCGAGGTCCCGCATAGTAATAAGAACCTGCTCCAGTAAGACAGGCAGTTTATCATTGTAACCGGATACCTCGACGAACAACCCTCGAGAATCAAGACTGACATTGTACTGCAGCCCAGCAAGCTCGGCATCATATGAGTATTCCTCTAGTGCATCCCTTACCAAATCCGTGAACAACTTGGACCTGACTGAATTATCTGCAGAAGCAAATATGATAGGGTTCCTGATGCTGACGATTAAATTCGCTTTCGGGACCCAGAATGTGTCATCTTTCTTGAACCACGTTCTCGCCACTTCATCATCTCGGATCACTCGAGGTGCTAGAGCTGGCCGCTCAACTTCTTTCTTCTCCACCTCAAGCTTTGTCGGGATGAATTGGTTCTTGTGCGGGAGATGCAGAGCGGAAAGGCGGTCCTCAGAAGTACTATCTAGGGCCTTGGCGATCTCGGCTAGGAAATCCTCGGGGATATTCTCAGCCTTATACTCTGTTCCGTACCACTTCTCCTTCTGATCCCAACCTCCCGGGAAGTCCCGAGACACGATAGTCATTCTAAAGTTATCGGGTCTCAATAGTTCCACCCCTTTAACGATAGTTTCCGGGTCAAACTTTCGTAGGCGGCTTTGGCCGCTGAGTAACCACTCTCGGGGCAACGGCTTTTGCATCACAGCACAAATCCTACTTGTGAAGCGACTAGCTGGTGTCTTTTGCTTAAATTTGAAGTCCACATCCGCCATGCCCTTCTGTTCGTCGAATATCCATTCTTGAGGTTGTGTTTGTTTGAGAAGTGATATGTACTGGAAGAATACTTTGACGACCTCTTTATAATGTTTTAGACCCTATATTAGAGCATTAGCAATCCGTGTTCCCAGATGACTAGAATCATTTACCTCTTTTGTCAACCGGATCTGACAGTCGAAAATGCCAGGAGTACCGGGGCATATTTGATATGCACCAGCGCTGAGCGAATTGGCCCATCCCTTCGATTTTAGGTACGCCATTATACTACCAGGGCCCTCGTGGCCAATTAGGTGGCTAATATACCGACTCGGCTGCGTTTCGTAAAGATATTCTTCGTCCAAGAATGGAAAATAGAGATTAAGCTCTCTGGAATCCATGACTGGCTTTGCAAAACATTGCATAGATAGGAGCTCGTTAGTGAACGGTACTTCGGTTTCCCAACGATTCTGTGGGAGGTTCTTATTTGGTACGCCAGAGAATAACTCAGCAACCCATTTCTCAAGTACATCTAGCGGTTCTCGGCCCAAGACGCAAAGCTTCATCCTGTTGGCAGAGTAGTGCTTTTCGTGAAAGTCTATAAACTTTTGCCGCACATCTATGCCTTTAGATTCCGGCTCAGTCTTGAGCACCTCAAAGTTACCAGTCGAGAAGTGGCAATAAGGATGCTTGGGGTTAGATAGAGACTTCTCTAGCTGGTGGAGGCGCCACTGGTCGCTCTGCAGGTTCTTCTTATTTTCTGAGTCGACAGCACGTAGCTCACGATCCAACGTCGACGGGAGGAACAGGGGCTCGATGAAGAACTGAGCAAACCTATCTAGGCCACCGAAAAGGGGAGACAGGTTTGTCTCGGAAGGTTCCTCGCCATTGCTCGGCTTCGCGGCAATATCGAAGAAGTAATTGGTCGAAGTGGCTCCGGTATAAGCATTCGAGCTTCCCGAATGAGAGGAGAGGTATACGTTATACGCATTCTCTACCGGGTATTTCTTCGTACCCATGAATAAAAGCTAGAGTGCATCTTATCAGCTAAGGTTTAGATTGGATCTTGTCCGACGTGACCTACATGTTCCACGGCATGTGCCATACCCGGCATATCATCTTCATCACTGAAGTTGCCGACATTAACGTCCAATGCGGCGCTGGCCTTGTCCGTTTCAGGATCATGGACCAGCAGCGCCTCAAGCTGGTTAGATAAACGTATAACACGATATGTCCGGTCGTCTAGTGAAGGAACCTCCAACTGGTCGGTGACACGCTCGACTGGCTGTAGGTGGTCCCGCACCACGCCGCCTGACGTAGGTGCGTCCTGCGACGTTGTGGAGCTCATGGCGAAGGATTAGAAACGGTTAGGAGAGGACTGGGGGGGTTGTGACACAAAGTCCAGGGGATAGTCCAAGATATTCTAACAGTTCTAAGTAACGCCCGGCTCGAGAGATCTGAGCGGGAAAAGGAGACTTAGGCCGATGGCGGATGAGCGTAGGTGCGACTTTTATCCAGACGTCGAAAAGATAGGACGGGGTAACAGGGTAGCGTCTGTACAAATCGTCTTCGGTGGAGACGCTAGCGTAGACTCAGACAAGGACCAGGTTCTTCCAGAGGATTGGGAAGAAGTCTAATGTAGGAGAAATTCGCCTCGCTCTGTCTGGGAAGTTCCCTTCTCAGCAACCGTCTAGAACGACCACCTTTCGAAGCCGGTTCGTAACACGACGTTTGGAGTGCCACGAATCGGCCCGCAGTCTTAGTCGTTCGCTACACTTGCCGATATGCAACGGGAACCTTCTGCCGATTTTAGAGATGCTGCCTATGTCACTCTAAGAAGGACCTTGCAACCCAATCAGCAACTCTACCAAAACCTAGCAATAACGCAACCGCGAAACAATCTTCTAGACGAACAAGTTTCGACGACCACCTATAGAGTTGGATTACTCAGCGGCGAGACTGTAAGAGGAGCGAATCGTTCTTAAAAGGAGTCAATTGGCCTCCAGATGTAATATAGCAAACCCAGGCTTTTACTATAGCCTCCCGCCCTTTGTTCTCGTGTCGGTGACTGGGGTTTAAGTATACAGTAGTGTAGAAGACAAAACTGTGGCTCAACGACAAGGCTACCCTAGACCTGAAGTGCGGGACCTGAGAACAAATGTATAAAGAAGGGAGGAAAGGCTGACTCGAGCTGAGATCTGGTGGGCAAGACTCCAGTAGCGGGCTCCGCTATTGCCAATATTAACATGGATAGATAGATTCACAAGGGGAAAGGAGCAGTAGAGGTATGGATCGACGATGGGACGCTTGTGATTTCATGGATACTCATGTACGTTATGGGCTGACATGCTTAATTACTTACTTATTGAGAACTGGGCTCGGATATTGGCTGAAAAAAGCTGAGTTTTATGAAGAATTGGTGATGGCGAGATGGTTAGGACCCTACGATTGGGCCGCAATTAGAACAGTGTTTGAGAAAATTTCATAATAATAGTACGGAAGGCATAATAATATGTGCTGCATCAGTCAACTGAGCAGGTGACGTGAAAACGGGCCAGTGATAAGGCCTAATGTTGAGAAGAGCGGAGGCCAGGGGTGTGAGGATGAGAACAAACACCGTGGGTAATAGATTTTTTTTCTTACAGGAAACTAGTCGATGAGGTATTGCTGTAGCTACCCAACGCATAAGTACCCTAGCCGGTCTGGGGTCTGATCTGGGTTGGGTCTGGAAGGACGGGTGATGTTCAGTTGAAAATCCGAAGGCCGGTGACGTATTCCTTGCAGGGCGGCGGTAGTTGTTGAATTAGCAAGGTGTGATCAATGCCCAGATATCCAGAGAATTATTAGGTCCGGGTTTGATATAGTATCCGATGCGGGTGGGAAAAAAATTTGAGATGCAGTAGCCGCCCGGAAGAGTAGGTAACGCCGAGTTTAGAGATATACCATATGGGACGTATGTATAACATGTAGGTAAGCAACCTGTGTCTTACTAAAATGTTAAGACATGTATTACAGTATATATACCTAGGTCAGGGTATGTATGCGTGCCTTAGGTTTTATATATACCTATTTGTACCGTATGAGACGACGAAGGCGAAGAAACGAAGAGTCAGAGAATAATAAAAAATAAAATAAAAATAAGTGCGACCGACACGCATACAGTATGTGAAATGAGCTAAGCACGCCTCACCGTGTGTTTGTATGGAGGTACAATGCATACAAGTAGGGATTGGTATTCGAGGGATGGCGAACGGCGATGGTGATAAGTCAGGTATGTACGTAGTACGTACCTGTATGTAGGTAGTGTAGGTCAAGGAGCCAAAAACCAAGAGAGGAAGGAATGTGGGGGAACAGGGTCCATATCGGCTTGTCCGCACGGGTGCACGGGTCGGGTGTATGTAAGACTTGAGTTGTAAGTGCACGTGTAAGTGCACGTGTAGGTACCTTTAAGGTAGGTATGTATGACCTTATCCCGGGTATGCAGATATCAAACGTATATACCTAGGTAAGCACGTAACCTCCTAGGTTATGAAGTCGGATTTGTATATTGAGATAGGTGGGTAGGTAGGTATATATTGTAACATGTGGCGCATATTTGAAGAGCCGTGACTCAAGGAGGCAAAAGTTAAGGTATAACAGTTTTGCCAAACTATTGTACCAGCTTTTGTTTGGGTACCAAGTTTATGAACCAAACCACATCTCTGTTAAGGATGGACTGCAACTTTGACCCAGGAAGCTATTCGCTGGGTAGCGACTAGGGTTTTATTAGAAACGCGGTAAACGTAATTGTATGTTGGAACATCCTGTTCCGCTCTCATCAAAAGAAGAAAAAACCTCTCATTGAAAAAAGGCCTTGAAATCTCGGAAGAACGTCATCTTCCTGAATAGCATCGACGAATAGCAGACGAGAAGAGAAATAACCTTTTTTGCTTTTGAGTACCCTTGGGGCCAACAGCCAATAAGTCTGATCTGAGGTTACTCCGATTATTAATTATGGGTTACCAATGAGAAGCCGTAAAATCTCGTTAGGGTATACATATTAACTTGACCTCTTTACGTCATGAAGAACATGAGAGGTTTCTATTGTATTGAGTTGAGTTAAGAGTTGATACACACGATGGATATGAAGGTATCTAAAATATTGTGTGGGGGAAATATTGCATTAAGAGACAGCTCTACTTATCTGGGTTAACCTGGTTAGGCATGTACTGGTATGATGATCATTTCTCGGTCAAGGTAGAATTGCGGTTAGGGTTCTAAACTATTGACCATCCTGCTATCTTAGTCTTCATATGAATGTCGTCTGTATTAGTTTTCTAGGTGCCACCTGCAATGCGCCGCTTGCCTTTCAATTCGAGCCAACTCTCGCTGACACCATAGGTAGGTATAATAGACGGATGGGCCTATGTTCGTCACTTTGCATTGCGTGATGCTAAGCCCTAATATGACGTTTCAACTTTGAACATTTACCCAGTATAGGGTCTATGGGCCAATAAGCAAAGTGAAAGACGGGATAGATACCCAGCCAAGGCAATTTGTGGAACCTTCAAAAGATTTACGGCGGGTTTGTGTCTTTCTCTGCGGTTAACTAGGTCTTCTTTAGAAATCTACATACTCCCTCGATATAACAACAACTTGCTTTAAATGTCGATAAGATTTAATATTATGATGTTAAGCCGTAGACTATCCCTTGGCTTAAAACTTAGTGTATTTAACCCTAGTTACCTAAGGTAAACATCACGGCTTTTCCACTTCCTTGTAAGTAATCAAGATTTGTAATACTCGAGATAAATAACAGCCAAGAAGATATTAAAAGTATTATTGAACTACATACGAAGACGTTGGCGATCTTACACTAGTTTCCGCTACCCTGCAAGGCATACACTTGAAGGAGTAGTTTTGGAATAAGAGACCGTAAGATAAGGTAGCATCAAAGCTTAACAACCTATCCTCCACGTTTCTGCATGGATTGCCGCAAATCGAGTCCCGGGTATGTTTAAATATTTCCGGTTGGTCTAAGATCCTTGCTCTTCAGCCCAACTGAGTTGTATACATAGTATACGTCGACGTGTACAATAAATCAGACTACCTACATACATTATAGGGATATATAAGAAAGTTGCATATTATCTCAGATTTCTCTCTCTGAACGAACCAGTCCGTCTTTCTCAGTTCCTATCAGACGGGGTAGCGTGTACTTAGAAGAGCATATCTCGTGATCAGCAGCCCAACGTATGTAGTTCAGCACAGTTGTAACGACGAGCCAGTCTTAATCTCATAGGCAATTCATATTAACTTGCATTAGGCGCAACAACCTCGTTGTCTATGTAGCCCCGTACGTCGCACGAACCGCGCGGCCGTTAGGAGCTTAAATTTGATATACGCTAGGTCCTAGATCCTACCCTGATATGTACGCAGGAGGCGGGAGCTGTACATCATGAGGTGCCATGCAATATTTGCCGGTACACAGACCTCTTGGACCTGGCCATGCTCGCCTTCTATCCACTCGTCCGGTGCTTGCTTTGGACGGTTGGTACTCCGGAAGGTATGCAATAGCGCTTTGATAATTCCCGACGTGTGTCCACTTTGATATTGATTGCGATGATATTCTACAATCATTACACACCTTCGCTGAAAGCCGCGGCTTACCCTGTCTCATGCTATCATGGAAACGCCAACTAAACTTAACCAGAGCACAATGAATTGTTTACACGTTTCAATTAGTTACCTAGGTACGGAACTACCTACGTTAGACCTCGTAACAAGACACTATGAATTGATGAGGAAGGAAGCTTCTATTCTACGAGATTTGTATGATATGTCGTATAATAACAGCACATGATCATACTATCGAATCATAGGGGGGCTGCTGTCGATCATGTATTCAGTCTACGCGTATGCAGCATGGCTTGAGTAAAAATCGATTGGCACGGAAGCCTACATTATACTTAGTGTCACCACGGGTGTATACAACGATCGAGGTTGCACTGCGATCGGTACGGTCTCTCATTCCTCATAGCCACAAGCACGAGACAGTTCATACTCAAATACGAGAAGATGGGTAGGAATTGACCACTTGCGTGGGGTGACCTTGCTTGATCGGCTAAGTCCTAGGATTCTAAAGAGAAACCAAGATATGTTTCGATATCACATCTCCTTTCAGGAGTGAATCTACCTATAGCAGTACCTAGTGCTAGTAGCTACCCGTATATAATCCCTCTAATTCTGCGTGTGAAGTATGTCCCAGAGATCAACGTATGTAACGCTATAGCTAGGACGGGCAAAGAGGATAGTGCAAATGGGTACGCCTTGTGCTCTTTTTTGGCTCTACTTAGTAGATCTAGCCAATTAGATAGAATTGCCATATTCCGAGTGAACGTCAACGCAAATAATTTTGCAGTGAAGAGCAAAATTGCCCATGTGGCAATGCATCCGATGTACTTGCCTTGGCCCTGAGAGTGAAGTCACATCTAGAAACTAAGGGCTAGCACATACCATTCTGTAAAGCAACGCCTGTAAAATAGACACTATGCGCGGATTTTAATTTGTTGGCCGCTTGGGAGTATTCTTGCACTGGGCAATTCTATGCCCCGGTCTACCACAGCGATGACAAGTGAAGTCCACGGGCTGCCGTTGTGAAGTACTGCCTCCTGAGGATATGGATAACGGGCCGCCAGAAGCAGGAGATGACTTAATACCACCATTCAACTTGACCTCCTTCTTTCTCCGTTTCTCGGCAAACTGCTTAGCTTTGACCTGTTCGGCACTTCTCTTGCTTTTCAAGACCGGACGAGATGATCCCGACCGTCCCTCTGACTTTTGGCCATAAGAATGTCGGCCTCGTCCATTATCTTCCGAAGAGTCGTCAGAGTCCGACCCAGAACTAGAATCGTCACTTTCAGACTCGCTATCCTTCGATACCTATACGTGGGTAAGTTACGTGAATAAGGGAAATGGTACACGGAGAGAACACGATAAAGTAAGGAAACAAAACTCACTTTCTTGCTATCCATATTATACCGTCTAACCATTGGGGTTCTTATGTGCGAGGCGTCAGTTGGTTCAAAGTCATCAAAGCCAGCAGCATCAGAGGTATCAATATGGGAATCAATCTGTGCAAATCCAACTTGGACTACATTCAGAGGTGTTTGTATTCCACGGTTAGAATTTGCTGTTTTCTCTGGCATGTCAAGCACCCAATGTGCGTCTCCCAGCTTAGCAGCATTCTGTACCACAGCTTCCTGGCGCTTCCTCTCCTCGACAGCAATCGCAGCTTGTACTGCAGATTGGTCTATATGTACTAGGGAATCGGTATTATCACGTTTCGCTGGGTTGTGCGACACCTTGCGTCGCTTTGAGGCTTGGTCGTCTGGAGTTGACGTGGCGGAGGATGGAGAGGAGGGCGAGGCGACAGCTCTTTGCATGAACTTCATAGTTAGTAGTCTTGAAGACATGCTTTTGGTGGGCGTTGGTGTCGCCATCTTGTCGCGACTTTGCTAGCTTTCCCGAACAGAGTTTTGTGTATATGGATCGTATCGAACGGTAGGATAGGTTTAGTGGTGCTCTTAAGAATAAATGCCTAAGAGGATAAGGATTAGGTACTCTACTAGGCGCGTCGCAAGGAAGACCGAGGGAACCAAAAGAGAAAAAAAATGAATGCAAGTACGGATTACGGACGTTGTCAAATCGGCTCTTTCCACCCTTGTAAAAGAATCAAGTCAGGTAGGTACATATAAGGTACCTATGTACCTACATAAGTTAATGGAAATTCTTTTAATTGATTCTCACATGTGGTCCGAGCTCCCGAGAGCCAGTAATCATTGGCAGCTGGTCATCAACCTCAAATCATCATAATCCTAGAACTTCTTTAGATCAGTCGCCTCCGTTGACGACCACAATAAGCCACGATGCTTTCGCGATTGACTATTCGGAGGTCTCTGCAGCTCTCTCAGCGAGCATGTGCGACTCAACGCACTTTCGCACTCTCCGCCCGCCTTCTTGATACCACGAACCCGATCGCGGTCAAATCCGAGACTACCCCCCAAACCAAGAGCGAGGAGGACTCGTTGGGAGTGGTAGAGAATGAAAAGAGGGGCTTGATGCAGGCGCCGAACCGAGCCGGGATCTGGTCAAGGAGTCAAAAACCCAGGGCTGCGGCTATGACAGGCCCGAGATTCGAACAGACCGATTTCTCCCTCCAAGTAAGATTTGCACAGCGTTTGTCCACGACCCTACGAATCGTAGCTAACAGCAATCCAGCCTCAACCTAAAGCAGCTATTGAACTCATCCACAAGAAGCCAGTCGAATGGACTCACGACCGAGTAGTAGCATGTGACGGTGGAGGGGGCCCGGCGGGACATCCTCGAATCTTCATCAACACAGACAAGCCGGAGATTGCTACTTGCAACTACTGCGGTTCTCCATTTGTGAGTTTTGTCTCTGATATAAAAGACTGTTACCCATCCTTCGCTGGAGAAATGATAGCAGATAGGCTTCGTATGAGGGAATAACTAATAAGTGTTTCCAGGCAAACGAACATCACAGAGAGCACCTTCAATCATTACCGCAGACCTCGTATCCTCTTGCATAAGGATAGACAACTCGCCCATCAAATGGTAGCCATGGAGTGGCACTGAATTGATATTATACAATTCTCAAGTCTACCCAGGTCAAACAGGGAGTCCATCCAGCAGCTATGTACATATTATTCTGACTGCTCAAGTATCTAGAAATGCTTTATAAAGTCACCCACCCTGGTAAAAGCACAACATAAAACTTCATACTCCCAAATTTAGCTATGCTAAACTCTTTGTTAACTGACTTACATTTATTCGTTCACTAATTGGTTGATTTATCCCCAAAGGCTAAGATGTACCTCTTACTTAAGGTTATGATACGTAATACTTTATGTAGCAATTGCATAACCAGATCAAGACAAAGGTACAAAGACAGTTCAAGTACATGTAGTCTCCAATTGAACCCGCAGGGGGAGAAGATTAACCCCACCAAAGCTCCAAATGCAACAACATTTATCGCCATGCCGTCATCCACATCTAAACCCACCACCACGTCTTTTTCACACAACTTCTTCACCCTGCTTTTCTTACTCGTGCTCCTCGTAGCTTTCTTCCCAAGTCTATTCCACTACATATCCACTCTCCCTCTCGCGTATCTGTATTCGGCAAGCCAATCTTCAGCTACCCCACCACCGCCAGCGCCAACCATGTCCTGGTCCCAGAAGCAGTTCACGCTGCCCCCGCGCTCGCGCGGCTCCTACCTTATCACCGACCACGTCGTCAAAGAGATCCCCGAGATCAGGAACTACAAAGTCGGCCTGCTGAATCTATTTGTCCAGCACACGAGCTGTGCGCTTAGCTTGAATGAGAACTGGGACGATGATGTGCGCGCTGATATGAGCGATGCGCTAGACCGCATAGCGCCTGAAGCTGGACCTAAGGGAGAGGAGTTGTATAGACATAGTGCTGAAGGAAGCGATGATATGCCGGTGGGTTATATAGAAACCTTCTATAATAGGTGGGGAAAGTGCTAATAAAGAAAAGGCACACATCAAGTCGGCACTCATTGGCGCTAGTGTTACAATTCCTATAAAAGACGGAAAGTTGGTAAGTCGCGCAACTCCTCTTGATTAAGGAAGCAATGTAGCTAAGCTCCTACAAGGCAACGGGAACATGGCAAGGAATTTGGTATCTCGAATTCCGAGAGGTGAGGCATACAAGAAAGGTTGTAGCGACTATTCAGGGAGAGAAGGCATGAATTCGGATAGAACCAGAATAGAAACATCTTGTGTCTTGCTTTTATTGCATTTTATCTAGCCCTTGTGATCGGTTCAGATAATCCCGGCTCTCAAGGCCGCGATCTAATTCCTACGCCGTACGCCGTTTCGTCGCGCCTTATTTCAATGCAAAAGCACACATGAGATGACAGGCTATATGGTGCTCGAGATAACCTCGATGAACCCTACCTACTCATGATATCTCGGCCTCTTGGGGCCTAGAGCCAAAATTAACATCTTTAGTACTGTCCTTAGACTTCCCCATTTCCAGAATTATCGGCTCGTTCCCCGTGCGACTATTCCTTCCTGGAGATATAAAGCCCCGCTTGTTGATATGTGGTCACTGAATAGCTACTACAACTAGTTGTGGCCATTCTCTTCCTTAGCGTCTCTCATATCCTCATCGCCTCCGGCAAGGACTTTCGTTTTGAGGTTGAAGACCTCGGGGCTCGCTCCGGGCGTGGCAGCAACCACCTCGCCGTGTTCGTTGACGAACTCGAAGTTATACCGGCTTAGGAGGTGGGGGATGGCAGAGAGCTGGGGTCCATATCGGGCGGTGTTGTCGTAAAGCTCAAAGAGCGGCACAGCAAGCAGCTTCATGTTCTTCGGTACACTCAGGACCTCTGGGTTAGTCTATGGTTAGCGGTCTGCACATTAGGGCGGATGACGACTTCACGTACTACTCTTCGGTAACTGTATGAAATAAAGCTTCTTGCATTCCTTTGGTCGCGTGACGTGGGCCGGGATGAAGGGATACATGAAGGTCTCGAAATTGGGCCTCCACCACTGCGCGAGACAGTCTCCGACTTGCCAATTTGCCGGCTCCTCGCCCTCGCCCAGCTTGCCTACCGGCGCCAATCGCTCATCTAGTCGAGACTTGAATCCTTCGATCTCGTCGTCCTCTGGTCGAAGGTAGTCACCTGGTAGCTTGAAGAATGCATTTGCTATCTGAAGCATCAGAATATGGGGATGATTGTGCTCGTGGCAAACAAGAATGCCTTCGCAGGTACGACGCATGCCGTGGGCATTGTAGTGCTCCTCGAGGCGCTTCAGCCGTGCTATAACTGAAGGGTCTTCTTCTGGTTGCGTCTCCTTTACTCCGAATGTGTAATTGGAAAGGGGATACAGTCGTATCGTGTTCGGCTGGTTCGAGTTGAATGAAAGGGGGATGATGGGAGGATATGCGCTCTGAAGCGCCGTGGCGGTAACTGTAGACATGGTAGGCTAGAATGCAACTTTGAGAACGAGAAAGAGATGTCAGAAAACTTAGGATGCTATCCTTAAATCTGGGAGAACCTAAAGTACATAGGTATAGAAATAGGTATGAATAAAGTCCTAAGAGAGTATTATGCCTAGTTGAGCATGTAGGCAGAATTGAGGTTGTTCAAGAGAATGTCTACGGCGTTGTCTGGAGTCTGGAGTTTAGAGTCTGGAGCTTGCTTTAGCAACGCGCTACAGATCCAAAATCGATACCGTCAGGCGTTCTTGACTAAATTCTAAATCAAGTAGGCGGTGACGAAAGCTAAGCGTCGGTGTTCATTGGCTCAGATCGATCCTTCTACATACCTTATCATCTATCAACGTACCTACCCAATTATTTGGCTTGATTAGTAAGTAAGCTTTAAGCAGGTACTTAGGTACTTGTCTATATGTACGTACCTACCTAACCTTAAGGTAATGTATTTGTATTCCAACACCAACCACTAACATTAGAGGTAAAGCATCAGTCATATAAATACCAAGAGAAGACCTCAAGCAGAGAGAAAAAAAATGATATTTATTAGAGTCGTTTATACTATCATATCTATTTCGCCTGCAGAAAGTATCTCATAGACTGCTCCCCAATTAGGAGTGATAGAAGCCTCCGTGAGGTGCATTATTACACTACCTCTAACACCGTGTAAGAGAGACTTGGCGGCTTATATCAATCCTTCCGCGTATATACGATATTGTCCAATAGTTTTTCAAAATACCTAGAGAACTATACCAGGATAGAGCTGCTGACCGAGGAAAATCGTACTTCAAGAGGGTTGGTGGGATCTAATATCGAATCTTATCCAAAGACTCGGGCATCGAATATTAAATCTTCTACATACAATAAAACGACAGGACCTACTCACAAATAAGCATTGGGCCAAGTAGGGTTGTATAAGCATCACTCGGCCTTCAAAGCAACAGTATATTATGCTAAAGGAGTCCTACATCTAACAAAAGAAGTGTATGGCAACTCCAAGGACCGGTTGGCAAGGCTATAGACCTGCTCCGAGACAGGGTCTTAATATCATGGCTGTGTAACCAATCGCAGCTGATTATTGGCACGGAAGGATATAATATAACAAGTCATCCAATCCGAACTTAACAGATACACACCGATACTAACTATATCATATCATTAGCATTTTCTAATTCGGGTGCGGCTGAACTGCAATAATTGCCTAAGGCGCAGCCAAGGAATAATAAAATTGTCCGTTTAGTGATGTTTTCGTGTTTTGGCCCCTGTGGCGGTTTGGCCATATTGCGGCTGGGAGAAGCGTTATACATGAATCCCTTCTCTCACCGTCCAGCCTATTCCACAAACCTATTTCCTGATTTTCTATTTCATTTCGTCATGCTTATAGGTAACCCTTTTCCTACGTAACTGTCTATACATATTATACCCTTCTAGCCCTGAGTTCGATAACATGACTTCGGCAACCGGTACTTCAGTACTGCTGGGACCTTTGACAACAACTTGGGCGCCACCACCTGCTTGTACTATCGCGGTTGCAGGTTGCAGTACATGTCATTATGGATGGCTGGCCCAAACATGCGGTGGGCTCGATGAAGTTCGCGACGAGCCGTCGTGTTGCAACAACACCGGGCCAACCTCTCTTCGCATGGGGCATATATTCACCGGGACTCGTATGTCCTCAGGGATACACGACGGCTTGTTCATATAATGGTGCGAAGAAGACAGGGGACTTCAACTTTTACTTCAACCCTGAAGAATCAGAAATAGCTATCGGCTGTTGTCCGCCGTAGGTTAAAATACCCCCCCTCAAAACTCGATACTGAAAATATGAAAAGGGGATATGCCTGTTCTCGGTATCCTGCGGGCCAGACATGCATCACGACGTTGACCTCAACCACGGTCCCGACTGTGACATGCGAATCCGGGACTAGCGCTCATTTTGAATACGTGACGATACCTTACGCTGCGGCCGACGTTAGCACTATCCAGGTTATTTCGACTTTCACTGTCTTCGCTCCTTTATTCCAGCTTAACCATCAGGCCTCTGACCTCTCGAGCACCACGAATAAGGCAGCCGACACGTCTATTAGCAGTGCGATATCCTCTTCACCGTCACAGACGTCACCAATACAAGCTTTACCGACACAATCATCAAGTGCGCAAGGTCTATCCGCCGGGGCGCAGGCTGGTATAGGCTGTGGCGTTGCTCTCGGTATCATTCTACTGGGAACTATAGCTTTCTGCCTGTTTCGATCAAGAAGAAGGAAAATCGGCCCTCAACCTATCGAATTGCAAAGTGCCGAGCAGGAGATGAGGTTTCCGATAGGGTTCTACGCGCAAGCTCGTGTGGTACCTATGGGGACAAGGCCAATCAGAGAAGCAGTCGAGCTTGACGGCAACTATGGAATCAATCAAGGGATTTGCCGACCATTGGCAAGACCTTTTAGTTAGGTCGCAAAATAGGCTGGGGCCATTTTATTTACGCTAATGAACTTCGAATATGGCAATGAATGACGTGAAGCAATTTTCAAATTATCTAATGTTTTGACAATTATAGCGCCTACGCTATGCACCAGGAATGAGGCGTTTTGGTAGATGACTTGTATGGAGGGCTTTTACAATTCGTATATGGCTTTTTGTCTAGTCTTCCTTTACGGTGTACTATTGGTCATTGTATGTAAATACCAATAGACTCTCGGGGGCAAGTATAATAGGGGCTTGCTTGACCTTCGTGTTGTCGTGTGGAATAGGGGTTTTACTTCAAGTGAATATCCTATAAGCATCAAATAATCTATGGACTTCCTACTGCAACGATACCAGACATTCTATATCAATATGGAAGGCCTGTACACGGGAAAGTCTAGGATCTCAGTTGCGATATGTTCCGACTGGAGCTTAGATTATACGCATTTAGGATGACCTTAATTGGTCAAGCCTAACAGCGATGGTATAAATCATATCACGAAACAAACCGAAAGGTCAATTTCGTAGCCTTTATTGGGCGGAAAGCACGCTTGGACTGTTCGTAGAAAAGGGGTGAGGAGCATCTGGCCGGCATGCGGTCATGTTTGAATCAGGTAGGTAAAGCAGGCAGACTAGAGAGTAAGGCGTTCAACATATAAATCAACAATTTAAAGTCTTTATATACCAGTAGACGCTACGTTTGGACGAACATGAATATCTGAATAGGATCGATAGCCAGTTTATAGACATTATTAATATATTAGGACTATAAAGGAGTAATTTGAACTCCGATAGGCACAAAGCTATTCCTTATATCCCTTTCAACCACAAATGTTTTTTTATTCCTCCTAACCCCTTGTTGCTATTATATCCCTTCGCCCATACGGCCTAGGGCTAATTAAGACATGTCCAAACGTCCAGGTGGAAACAACGACATTGCGAAGAACCTCCCACGATATATTTCAAGGGAGGTAAACAAAGCTCCCATACATTTTCGATCAATGAATCCTTCCCATGGAGCTATGTGAAATCAAACCAACTCGATACCCAATGCCGTGGTCAAGCTAGGAAAAACTTGTAATCTTAAAGTAGCGTCACCGGAAGTGTCCCGTCAGGCGCCGTGCAGTTCTCAACATGGTAGCCGCCCAATTCGCCGCCGTCGACACAACCCATAGTTAAACTACCGTTCGCAATACCCGTATACGCAACCCTAGATAAAATACTAGGTGAGTCTTCGCGACTAGGGAAAAGAGGTGGACAATGTATAAAGCAAATGCTCTCTCTAGTAGCCAGTAGCATTGAACTTATTTCCCCCCGGAAGACCTTAAGGGGGTAGAACTAGGCTGGAGAAAGATTCTAGGCGGGAAATAGAGGGGAAGGAAGTAAACGCAAGAAAACAAGATCTCTCAACTCACAGACGTCCAACATCATCATGGCAAAACCACGTCTGATTCACAGCAAGAAACCGCTCCGCACGGTTAAACACCGCGCCCGTCGCGATCGTAAACCGGTGCTTGCCGTCCGAATCACGGCGATCCGCACACGCCTGCCACGAAGCATCATCGACCCAAGTAGCCGGCTCCGGCTCGCCGGTCCCCGCCCCCGCCCCCGCGCCGGACAGGTGGCCCAGCGGGAACGCGCAGATCGTGTACACGCCGTTGGCCCCGTTGGCGACCGCAAACGACATCGACATCAGCTGTCGCGGGGCTAAGCCCCCGTCGTCTTCGCCCTGGCCCGGCAGCGCGGTGTAGTTCCCGTAGCTGACGAAGCTGAGGCGGAACGTCGCGTTGGCCGATGCGGCTGCGCAGTCCGAGGTGCCTGCGACGGACTGTGGGGAGAGCACGGCGTCGGGTGGGGTGGTGTTGCGGTTGTGGGATAGGTGTATGAGGGCTTGGGACTCGCCGATTAGGGAAAATAAGGGGAGAGTAATGCGGAATAGTGAATTTCTCAGGGTTTTCATTTCTCGTTTCTCGTTTCGCTTAACTAGTACTAGTCTCAAGCTTGGAATATCTTCTTTATAGAATAGGTACTCTTAATTAGGTAGAAAATAATACTAGACTAAAGATCTATAGCTATGGGCTCTCTACTCTATCTTCGTTTGAACACTCTTCCATCAGACGTAATGTTAACATGATATTCACCCGTTACCCTTACCACCAAGTTGCAACCGAAGAGCAGGCCGGGGTGGCCTCATCGCGACATCATCAAAACCTTCGACTACGTTTACTATTTGCTGGCAAATACTAAGACAACTCCACTAGTCGATATTAACTAATTAATTGAATTGCTTAGACTGGGCGAAACTAGGATGCGGATTTATCCATGCTTAGTGTAGAGTCGTAGATTTTATCCACGATGACAGGGGATTTTGCTGGGTATGGGCATACAAGGGTTTCATTCACAGATCGATCCAATTAGATCATCTAAGCTGCTCATCAGAACTCTAATTCAACTTTCTATATAATCGTAGCGATGCTATGACGTCTATTAGCTATGCCTCGCAATTCTCTCCTAAGTTGAAATGTTGCAAATATCTCAACATATTTTACTCCCTAATGGACGGGGACATCACTTAAGGGACAACTCTGGGATCTTAACATCGGGATGGTAGTAACTCCTAGCGCCGCTTCACAGCCTGATTTTTTCCTCGTTTCTTCCCGGCCTGTTTTGTGATACTGCCATTGAATACAGCATCACCGACACCCCTGTTTAAATCCTTATCCGACAGAACACTTTAAGGCCGAGCGCTCGGGATGTTATGACTGCATATAGTTAGGGCGTACTTTTTGCAGTTTGTACGGATGAGAGGGTACATGGTCCCTTTTCTCCGGTCGAAATAAGGGATTCTTGTGGCGCACCGGGGAGGGCCGAGTCGGGGCAGTAGACGAGTTCGTGAGAACTGCCCTCTTTCAATTAATGCGGTATAGAAAAAGGAAGGCAACCGGGTGCCACGTACTTGATGATAATACCTACTATCCGACGCGAAGGGACTTCTTAGCAGCGGAACGCAGATATTTCGGAAAGAGTTGGCGTCTATGGTCTTTAGGTTGTACGCCCATCGTGTCGTTTTCTCTGGCAGACTGGATGAAAGCCGGTTGGATACGGCTAGTTTGGGGGACGGGACGCAGACAGGTACCGCAGGGTCGGTGACTTATTGTCTACGTGCGTAGTCGAGGCAATGCCCAGCTATAAGCCTTAAGCTTTCTTCGCATTGCGAGATAATGACATGTCATTTTATTTTATTTTATGCAGGTGTTCGTCCGAGTCGGTTCTATTTATTTACCTCGGGATCTATGCTCCGGGATCTGAAGAAAAGAAGAAAAAAGGGGGTATTATAGCCTTACAATTTTAGACCGGCAACATATGCCCTGGACGATTCTCATGCATGTGTCCCCTTTCCGTATCGATCGGCTAGGTACATCGCAAGGCTGAGAATGGTATAATGGCTTGGGCTACGTAGATTGTTCGCATCGGAACTTAGCCTCCCGGGAAGTCCCTAGCCTTTATGACCAGTATTATACAGAGACGCGTTCGATCCCATACTAGAGGACCCTAGAAGGCGGGCGAGCGCATTGTCCCGAATATTTATACTAACCACACGGATGCTATACCCCCTTCTTGTAATGCCATGCCCGACGAATCAAGAGGGGAAGAACGAGAAAAGAGAAAGAAACAGGGGCGTATGAAATAGGTCGCCAAGACCGATTACAGCGGTCGGTGGATGCAGGTCCTATATTGTCACGCCTCTCGGTACGGGGAATATAGCTGTACTTTAGACAGTGACACCGGGCCTGACCGCGACACCACCGCGACACCACCGCAGTGTTTACATAATACTCTCTAACACCACAGTGAGATGGCTTGGCTTATAAGGACTTGTGCATACAGGCAACGTGGGCTAGGCCAATCGTATGATACGGGATCAACTCCGAACTACCCTTGCCCTGTCAGGTTCACCGGGGACCACGGGTATAACTACAAGATAGCCGAGATACGACCTATACCGGTTTGAATGTACAGAATACCTTCTACGCCGTCTTTAGAGACCGGGAGAATCTCAATTGCATTGTCGAGCCACTGATTTTGCTTTGGATTCCGGATATCTAGCAAAGAAAGAAATATTATATTAGTATATTAGTATATACGTACGTAAGTTAGTCTCTATACTTTGGTAGACGACACGACCCCACGCGTTCTGGGTCTCATAGGCCCCAACGATGTAGATCGATCGGCAAGTCTCGACCTGAGTAGAAGAGATATTACATGTATGCGTGTAACGAACGGCGGAGTAGGCGTGGGGCCTGGGCTAGGAAGGGGGGGGGGGAGGACGGGAAGCCGGGGCTGGCGAGTCGGGGCTTGCTGGGAACAAGCGCGCTGCCGTAGGAGCCCTGTTTGTCTTGCCAAGCCTATGCACTTCACGTATGGCATGAGGAGATGGCACCTGTTGCGACCCGGATACATCGTTAATATAAGACACTGGGGTGCGTGGGGGTGATAAAGAGTAGCGAGGGGGAGCAAGGGGGAGCAAGGGGGGCCTCATGTAGATCCGCACGCCGGGTAGGGGCATCTGCAAGCCTAGACGTCGTGTAACAGCAACCCGGCAATCTCGAACGTCAGACCAGGGTTAGGGACGATGTATGAAGTTCCCATCATGGGGGTACTAGTGGCAGGGAGAGGGATTTTTTAAAGATACGTGCATATCCGGTGTGTTCTGCATATGCAGGTTTGGTTCTGGGATTATAACCTCATACAAACGACTGACGACGCTGATGCGGCGTTTATAGGAATGAGAGAAACACGAAATGATCCGTCATGTGCCATAGCATGAGCACATATTCTAGTTTCCATAGTTGTGAGGGCGAGAGCCGCATCGATGAGAAAGAGCTCGCCACCCGTCTCTGTCCAACCCGTTTCTAGAGAGGATGACGTGGTGAGTTATGCTATGGCCATTGACTATAGACCCCGCAAAGCATGGAGCGAAGGAACCTGTCTTGAATAGAAAGGGAATGGCGATGCATTCAGATCTGTTATGACGAGTATACTCTAGAGATAGATCAGGGGGTGGTTATGTTAACTGTGCGATGGGTTTCGGGCTTCCTATCGGACATGGCCAAGGAGTGGCCTGATCTTTTCATATGGACATCTACAGGTGCGTAGCTACATTACGGTAGCTACAGTTGAACCACCACGTATACCAGCCAACAGGGAACCGCCTTCCATATCTAGGAGGCAATGGGAGAAAGCCAATAACAAATTTTCGCAGATTAGGAACATGAAAACCCATCGCTTAATCCTAGTGTAGCCCATCCAGCCTAAATCATCGTCGCTCAGCTTGGGGGAACTATGTTGGTCTAATGCCGCTTGCTTGACTTCTCCTTCACGTCTGACTTTTTTGAAGGCGATGAGGAAGACCCGTGAGCAATAACGACACCAGATTTATGGGATTTGCTCTTCTTGTCGCTAGAACTCAACCCCCGAGGAATTTCCTTCTTCTCCCTTTTCTCTCGGTCTTCCCGTCTCTCCTTATGCCCAGAGGTCCGAGAGTGGACCGTCTCATTTTCTGATACCCCCTCTTTGGTATAATCAACCTTTAATTCACGGCCGTCGCACTTGTATCCGTTAAGCCGCCGAACCAGCTTATTGGCCACTTCTTCGTTTTGAAATGTGACGAGGGCATAGCCTCTATTTGATTCTTGGCCTTCCGTTAGTGGTAGGTCAACATGCTGAATTTTATCAGCATCGGATCCGGCTTTCTTTCGGATGAGGTCTTGTACCTGGTTGAAGGTGACCCAAGGTTGAAGCTGCTTCACGATAATTTTGCGCTGCCTCGTGGGGACCATGCCATTTGAGGAATCACTAGGTCTCGCTGATATAGATTCCGGGCTGGGTAAATTGCTATACATGGCGTAGTCGTTTCCGTGATACTCACCCATCTGATATTGCTGAGAGTAAGCTGCCTCGAAAGGATATTGTACCATCGTAGGAGACGAAACCATGGCTGTTTGGTCCAAGTAGCTAGTATTCGACGTATCGTAGGTATAGCAGTTAGGCGCCTCGTTATAATCATAAGGCATAGCAACAGACATGTAAGGTGCGCACTCCATTGCGGAAGTGGTCACGTATGCTGAAGGACTTGTGGGAGATGTCCACTGCAGAAAGTCAGTTGGCCTCGGTTTGTCTGGGTTGGAGGATTCTTACCTCCCCATATCCTGTCGCGATCGGCGACATCAATGGCGGCGTACTAGCTGAGTATTGTGTCGAAGGAGGCGTTCTATACCTCGGCGTATGGGGAATTTTTGAGGTGGAATTTCCAGTTGCAGAGACACCCACAGGTTCTCTGATCATAATGGGCTCCGTGGCATTTTTACCGTCTGCCAGAAGTGCTCGGCCGTTGAAGACACCCCCATTAAGCAAACCTATAATCGACCATTAGTTAAATTTCAAATACAAAACTGTTTGGAACGTCGACGTACGAAGAGCTGCATCATAATTCTCCCGACCTCGAACCGAGACCCAGCCAGAGGTACTCTCGTTGAATACTTCAACTCGCTCAACGGCGCTCACGGTCCGCACATGGTCTTTCAACTGCTGCCAAGACGTCTGCCATGGTAACTTTTACACATATTGTCAGTACGAAGAAGCTGTATAATACAGATTGCACGATGTAGATAACATCAATTCATGTTAGACTTACGTTTGAGACCAGAATATAGTATAGATTGGTTTGATTTCCGGGTGAAACGTTTGTTTGAATAGTCCCATTGATGGGGACTTGATGAGAGAAGGTATCCGAAGACATCGTGAACGGACAGCTGCAGCTCTCCAGACTTTACTCTAAAATGTTTGGCAGGGTGCACCCTTGATGAGAAAATCGTGTGGAACAAGCACAGCAGTATGAACGATCTGATGGGGCTCTTTATATGTTGCACGAGGCTTCCTATGATCCAAAGTATGTGCTGGCCAAGACCTGTTTTCTTCACCATCGCCTAGGGTCACACAGGATAACAGCCTGAGGGTTTGGCGGGATATATTAGAAGCTTAAATTTATGCAAGAATACCTTTCAAGATAGATCGTTCCGCGTTAGGCACATCTAATGTGTAAAACTTTCTTCACCGGTGATATGCATCATCGATTAGGCGGATATTTCAGCGAGTGAAGAAAATCATGGTTATAAACATATAGGGATATTCTTAGAACGTAGATATGCTGGTCTGCATAGTCCAATAGGATTTTGGCCGCCATTGATCGCGGTAGTATGCTGGCTGCATGAAGGAGATACAGCCAAACCAAGACGTTGCTGGGCATAATGAACTCTCATATTTCGTCTAGGGACCAAGATCTGGAATCGATCGAAGCTGACGAGGTATTGGCAGGTGACTCCTTGTCATATTGTACCCGGTGACGGGGGTGGTCCTAATACTAACGTTAAGGAGATCATCCGTTGGATGAGATCTATAATGAGTGTTAGCTGAAGTGGGTAACTTGACGCAGTACAAAGGGAATCTAGAAAAGGACAATCTTGCCTATTACAACGACTGGAATTAACTCTCAGGGCTTGTTAGATTCCACGAGTCTGGATAACTGTATCCTATGTCTTCGAGGTTCATGTACCTCGGGATTCTCAACGCCAGCATCGAACTATCGGCCATTTCGACTTTGTTGGTCAAACTGCACATTCTGCAGCAAGGGCATCGTAGAGGTGGCTTTTTTCGCATGGCTTTCAATGCTCGTTAGCTATTGGGCTCTTCTTGAGCGGTGACTTATGGAATTCTCCTACATAGTACAATGTTGCTACTTACTAGCGGCAAGTTGGATCGAATACCCGCTTGGCAAACATCTCGAAGTAAATTGCCTCTCCAAGAACGTTTTCTTGCATGGGGTGACACAGCGCAAGGGTTATGCCTGCTGCCTGCTGCCCGTTGTTGGCTGTTGCGTAACTTAAGCCGCCCACCATCTCCAATCTTGGGTACCTAAGAGGTAGCTAAGCTATTGACTTGGCAGACGTATTCCCAACGGCAATTTCATTTCGAAACAACGATGATTACCGAATCCTAAGATGATTTGTTAGTCATCGCTCATAGACCGAATGGTCTCCTTTTTTCTTCTTTTTCTTTTTCCTCATTAGCGTCTTACATTTGCGGTTCAGCCGAATCTCAGTAGCAGATTTGAACTGATCGCCACGCAAACAGTACGAATATCCGGAGGTACCTTGCATCTTCGAAGTGACTGGATGACTATTCTTGCATTCGGAATGGTTGCCATTGCCTTCGGAACTAAGCTAAAAAGCCATAATCCTACGGCTCCGGGTATCCTGTCTAATATCTCATTTGTTTGAGATATGATAGAAGATTTGTACAGCTTAGTGCGTTTAGTGCGTAATGAACTGGAATGTATCATCTGGCTCGCTAGTATCATCGTCCATGTCAATTAAAATGCTGTCTTCAGCATCCTCTAAAGGTGATGCGGGCCTTAGTGATGACTGCATGCCCATATTGTCCCTATGGCTGATGGTGTTAATGGGTGCAGAAGCACCTCGCCAGGGAAGGATTTCTCCATCGGAATCTGCAAGTGAAACCATTATGCAGGTTGCGCTGTCACTAAAGAAAAATGCAGGAGATTCTGATGTTGCTCCCAGCCATGTGGCGTACGTCTTGCTACTAGTCGCGCCTGGAAGTCGGTGTGCTAAGTCAACCGAGCGCGGGCCGTGGCTTAAAGGATCCCAGGCGAACACGAGACTGCCGTAGCTATCACCCTCACACCTCATGAGGAGGTGCTCGGGCTGCATAGGGTGCCATTCTAGTTTTGTTACATTAGAATGATACATTAGCACCGCCCGAAGATCGGAACTAGAAATATCCCAGATCCAGATCGTACCTGGTGCATCTTCCAGCCTCGTGGCCAGGAGGGACGAAGAGCAGTCGAATTTGGCAAAATTACACCCTGACACAGGTTCCTGAAGGCCATTCAATGCTGTCCATTCGGGGGTCACCATCTGGGTGGCTTTGACGAATACTGGCGACGAGAACGATCCGGTCTTTGGAAATGTATTTTGCTCTTGCCAGATCTTTGCAGTTAACGGAGACTGTCACACAACCCCGCCAAAGGGGCGACTTACTTGTAATGTATCTTTCGGTTGGACAACCTGAGGATGCCGGAGCCGCATGGCTTCCACCATGGATGGGGTGTTGAGGATGCATGTGCAAGTAGAACCGTTAGCAATTGCGACACGTCGTCCATCTGGGCTCAGAGTGACTAGTTTAACACCTGCACTATATTGAAGGCCCATGTCCTGAGATTGGTATGGGGGGGAACCTCTCCAATCCTTAAAAATGTGGCCGTCAGAAGTGTAGAAAAGGACCCTGGGGGCTTGGGCAGATGATTCCCACACCACCAACCACCTCCCGTCTGGAGTCCAAGCTAGTCCTTGGGCATCGATGGTGTCAGGATACCAGGACCGCTCAATGTCCCTCGTTTCTGGGGAGTGTATGCTAATCATGTCCTTGCCGGAAGACCTTGTGAGCAACGCAAGGTGATACGAGCTCGCCCGAAAGGAGTATCCCTTCGTCGCAGAGGCGGCATTGTAAAATTTGGGGTTAGCGATTTCTACTGCTTTTGAGCTTGCAAAATTGATAATGGTTAGCTTGATGCCGAAAGGCGACCAAATGCAAATCTCGTGATCGGTAACTCCAAAATCGACGAAGGTAGGCTTGGTGGCTGAAGAAGGAGTCCTAACGGTTCCATGAAAATTGCCGTCTCGGACCGAAAATACATGTATCTGATCGACAACAGCCACTAAGAGTCGTGTGGAGGAAGGCGACCAAATGAAATTTGATACACCGCCCGTGAGATCTAGTGGTAGTTTGATGCTTCGTAGGACGTCTAAGGACTTGATAGCTCGTACAACAATACTTGATGGTAAGAGCGTGGCAATGAGTTCGCCATCTGGGCTCGGGTAACAGTGAGGCGATGCTAGTGGCTAGAATCAGTAGCTGGCTTAGGTGCAATAAAATTAAACAGAAAGATGATGGTTTGTTATCGTATAACTTAGGGGTGAAGTCCTACACTGAAGGGCTTTGGAGAAACGCATGATATGATGGCTATGTCTTTGGTTGAATTAGTTCCGGGTCTAATGCTGGTTATTATACAGCTTGACAACGAGACCGGTAAGAATTGGTTTCGTGAGGGTTCAGTCATAACCACGTCAATACACGGCAAGGCACGGCTGCCACAGTCTAGGATGGTCAGCCGCAACCGCCACAACCAGTCATTTGTCAGACCTTAAAAGTTGATAGGGGGAACTGTTTGATAAGACTCGATGATTGGTCAGACGTTGCGAGCTCTCAGCTTTATTAGGTATTCAATTGGGTATTTGTTGACTTTTGTGATAGGTACATGGTTAAATGTGGTTTTTTTTTTTTTTTTTTTTTTTTTTTGGCGGGTTAGGGATTAGGGATTAGGTCCGGGTCCAATAATAGTGTAAGTTTGAACTCAATTAGTCTCCACGCCCCACGCTGATCCACCTTCCTCATGCTTGTCCGGCTTTGGTCTTTAACCCGTTGCTTACTCATCTTTAGTTATACGCATCTCCGCGCTTGTGGCAACACTCCGGAACCTCGAATTATAACATCTATTGAAGTCGCTCAAAGGCTAGTATATGACGGATTTCTCAATTATTGTCTTATATACAAGAAAGGGAAATTAACATGGTCATGATGCCTTATTTCCCCGTAAACTATTGATTTAGTAGGATATATCCTCAATATGACGTACAAGGCTTTCCCGCCTCGTTGGGCGCGGACCGTATCGGAGGGTCTGCAGCCCCGGTTCGGAAAATGTCGCACTGAGCCTCTTCGACGAATCACTACTGCTGCTGCCGCCGCCGCCGCTGTTCAGACCATCCCGGAACCGGCGAATCCGGTTGAGACGCCGACCGTTCAGTTCTCACGCCGCGAACTGCTGAAAGATGCAAGGCCATTCTCCGATTTTCTTACGGACACTTTTCATCGACAGCACGACTACTTGCGTATTTCGCTTACGGAACGGTGTAATCTTCGGTGTATCTACTGTATGCCAGAGGAAGGCGTCCCCCTCTCACCTCCAAAGGAACTACTGACAACGCCCGAGATTGTGATGCTGTCATCTCTATTTGTTTCCCAGGGTGTGAACAAAATCCGCCTCACCGGCGGTGAGCCTACTATCAGAAAGGATATCCTGTCCCTGATGGAGCAAATCGGCGCCCTTCGGTCACATGGTCTTAGAGAAATCTGCCTTACTACTAATGGTATAGCTCTTCACCGAAAGCTCGAGAGAATGGTGGAGGTCGGTTTAACAGGTGTTAACTTAAGCCTGGATACGCTAGATCCATGGCAATTTCAAATTATGACCCGGCGGAAAGGATTCGACGCCGTGATGAAAAGCATCGAGAGAGTCTTCGAGTTGAACAAGCACGGGGCTGGTCTTAAGCTTAAGGTCAACGCGGTTATCATGCGAGATATCAATGACCGAGAGATTATTCCTTTCGTTGAGATGACTCGAGAGAAAGATATTGAAGTACGATTCATTGAATACATGCCATTCGATGGTAATAAGTGGAACAAGGGTAAAATGGTTGGTTATACCGAGATGCTAGATCGTATTCGCGAGAATTACCCCGGTCTCGAGAAGGTACGAGATCACAAGAATGATACAAGCAAAACCTACAAGATCCCCGGGTTTGTGGGCAGGATTGGCTTTATTACCAGCATGACACACAATTTCTGCGGAACCTGCAACCGTCTTCGTATTACAAGCGATGGAAATCTTAAAGTTTGTCTTTTTGGTAACGCAGAAGTCTCGCTGCGAGATATATTAAGGGAATCTAATGGCGGCGATCCGATCGACCAGGAAACTTATGAGGCAATGAGAACTATAGCGGTGGACAGGCGACGGCAAATATCAGAAGAGCCAGCTTCCTTTGGCATAGCACCTAATGAGCGTAAACTCTTGGAGGTCATAGGTATGGCTGTAAAGAGGAAAAAGGCTAAGCACGCGGGCATCGGTGAATTGGAACATATGAAGAATAGGCCCATGATACTCATAGGTGGGTGACCACTCCTTAGCGTGCGGAAGCGAACCCTCGGAGGATTGCGACCAGGTGCAAGTCTTGCTTGACTTGGGATGTCTAGGAGGACTCGAACTGAATGGTTATCTGGCAGATTCGCAGCAATATATCCCAGCCAATCGCTCTCAAGTTTCGGCTTGGGATACTATCAAAAATCCTCCAGTCGTACCGCTTGCTTCTAAGCAGCTTTCCCCTTGGCTACTTAACATGCCAACCCGTTTCCTTAATGGGCAGCAACTACGATGCTTCTCACTTAGCAGCTCACGACCTGATAGGAAGCATGACCCAGCTAGATTAACACATGTATCTGAGTCTGGTTCTGCCCACATGGTCTCTATCTCAGACAAGATACCTAGCAAGAGAGTCGCCAAGGCGGCCTGCAGCGTCTATTTTACAAACGAGTTGGCATGCAAACTCATAAAGGAGAACCAAATCAAGAAAGGCGACGTTCTAGGGGTAGCTCGCGTGGCTGGTATTATGGCCGCAAAGCGAACATCTGATCTCATTCCGTTATGCCATCCCATTGCCATTACCAAGGTTGCTGTAGACCTTGTTGTGCTCGAAGATGAGCATAGCAAAAATGGCCGAGTTGAGATCGAGGCTACCGTAGCCTGCGAAGGCAAGACCGGGGTAGAGATGGAGGCTCTTACGGCGGCTTCTACAGCAGCGTTAACTGTTTATGACATGTGCAAGGCGGTAGATAAGGGGATGAGCATCCAAGGCTTGAGAGTCATTCTAAAGGAGGGGGGCAAGAGTGGCCGTTGGGTAGATGGAGCCCAAGATGACTCGATGGGACTAAACTAATGGGATCTATACTTCAGACCTTCATCATGAACATATACAACTACAACTACAACTACAACTATATTATACGCGCATAATATATGCCACTTCCACCATTCCTACTAACCAGCTGGCGCGTGTGGGTAGTAGCTTCATCTGTATTATTACGCCAATATCGAATGATCTTTGCTTGTGAAGCTCTTGCGGGAGGGGGGCTACTGAGTAAGGGTCGTCTGCGGTTGTGTTGCGGGGAGTTTAATTCGAGACACCAGCATTAACCCCGCCATTGCTGCCGGTCACTGAGTTGGAAGCTTTTGCCCAGGCTGGGCTAACCTGGAACTGAGGGCCAATCATACTTCGGCGATAACAAAACTGAGGTTCAGGTCCACTTCGAAGACCCCTTTCCCACTATATTCGGGGCCATCGCCTTCTAACTGTGTGGATCCTAGAACCTTGTCCGTAATATCATACTGGCACATAAGAAAAGACGCATAGGTCGAGAATCCAAGAGGCCGTGATCTTCAGAGATCTTGCATATCGCTAACTAGCGGGGTGATTAAAAGCAAAGTGATCCCTTGGCTAGGTTATTTGGTATAGGTAGGTACACCTAATCCGCATATACTTGGACGTCACAGCGTGTAAGCCAACAGGTATGATGTCAAAGCACGAGACCTGCGTTATCAAGATCTATCAACCTGTCAGGCATAAGCGATGCTTCGGAGCATTCTGTGTACATATATGCTCGTATACGAAGTACAGCGCGAACAAAAAGGCACAAGTTAAGGACTGCGACAGGCGAATCAATAGAAAAAGTTATTGCTATTGGACTGTCAGCCATACAAAGTGCATATAATGTGCATATAATACATTAATTAATTTGGCGGTCAAGCAGACCCCGGCTCCTTAACTCTACAACCCGGACACGGTTGTACAAAGAGCTGGAGCCTCGACTTTAAAGCCAAGCCTTCTAAACGCACTCGCATTAGCGAAGTTGCAGCCTCCAATCAGCGAAGACTGAAAGATAAACCTGCAGAAGCGCAAACACTGTATACCAGACTGTAGCGCTTCCATCGCCGCGTTAAAAAATAAAAATTAGACTACATGTGTACCTCTACTAATATATATTATCAAGAGTGCCATCTCTATCGGACGACGTGTTACTGATCTTAAAAAGATTCGAGAAATCTCGATTTATTTTGCCACCACGAAGTAAAATAGCGGTCTGTCAATTTGCATACTCTCTATTCTGTAGTTCTTAAGGAAAGGATTCAACTTAACAGGTACCTACTCTATAAAAATGATATTGTTGTGTGCGCGTGAGGGAAAAGAAAACAGCACTGCGGGAGTTCGGATCGTGGTGGAGTCACCAAGGGCCTAGGACCTACATGTAGATCTGCATCGCCGTCATCCGACCGGATCTCTTGAAAACAACGCAAAGTTAAATCTTGACAAATGTCAACTTCACATCGTGAGGTCATCGCAACAGGCCTCCCAGCTTCTTCATCGACGCATGTAACAATCGATAGACCCTCACGACAGTATACAGAATATCCACCTACTGTGAGCTGTGGTCTGTTACATCCCGATAGATTGCACCCAGGTTAGCTGTAGTAGTGGTCGAATGGAATAAAAGATGGCTGACGCGCCGACGTGCCACAATAATTCTTATAATAAATAACGTCCTGCACGTCAACTGTAACAAACCGCTTGCTTTTTTCCTGGGAATCGGACTCAAGGTGAGTTAATCTTGATGTAGGAAGAACGATGAGATAGATGATTGCTCAAATTAGTATCACCGGCCACTCGTCTTGGGTGGAATACATACCTAGGTAAATTATTTGCTGTTGATTGCGGAGGGATATCCCAGAATGTCCTCTACCTCATGAAATAGATTGTAACGAAATGAAGGGCTGGAAGGGTCCAGGAGGAAAACCTGACGTAAGTTAACGGATTTTGAACCGCCGAAGATCGGTATCCAGCGACCTTGGACAGATTGGGTAAGAGGACAGGCGAGCAAGCCAGAAACGATACCGCGGCCGGGCCATGGGGTCGGTCGTTTGGGCTTGGAGGGGAAGGATGAACTTGAAGCGGCGCAACAACTTACACTAACCCCAGGTTGTTTGCATGTTTAATTATTTACACAGGAATTATGATAAGAATTTACATTAACCAGGACATCCTTAGTCTTGTTGGCGTTATAAACCTGGCAAGAAGAAGAGGAAAATCAATGCAATGGAAAGAAAAAGAAGCTGGGTAAGAGTAAAGTCAATAAGAGTAAAAAAGTCAAGTGCATTTCGAGTATAAGCACAGTACGAATTGTGTATACCAGACTTAGCTAATTCAACTAGGCCAATCAGGATGGACTCAAATACTACGTAAGTGGACGCCGCTTGATGTATCGAGGGGTTCCCGGCCCACTAAGTGCCACCCCGGTGCCACCACGGCCGGTCGACTATTGCGTCGGGGAACCTCTCTCTCTAGTGCGGTTCTTGGAAGGTAGGTACGAAGTACGTACTTTATTACTTGACAGAAGTGTTATTATCATCCCTCCTCCCCTATTGTATCTTTTTGTCCTCCCTTACATATCATATCAATCATATCACCTACCTCACCTTTTATCTTATGCAACAGGTATTCGCTCTGATGCCTCAGATCTGGTACATGTAGCCTACGAATCTTTAATACCTTTCACCTTATCACTTTATCACTTATCTCTGATTTAAGCTTACCTTACATCACACCCTTATCACAAGCGCGAGGAAATCATTCATCCTCCAGTCACCATCCGCGCAGCCACCTTTTTTAGAGTTAGGATCGAGCCTTCTAACACACCCTTCCGTCAAGTCATTAGCTTCCCAGCAATAACCTTGACCGTTGACCAACTCAATTTTACGACTCGTACAAAGTCAAAGGTTGGGACAAGCCAGCATTATTTATTTCAATTGTCTGGTCTTATTAATAAACTCAAGTTTTTTTTTGGCGAGTCTTTGGTTGAGCATTAATTATTACACAATAATTTGGTTGCGCGACAGCTTACGCCGCTTATCGCTCTCCCAACATTCGCCAGCTTTGACCTCCCCTATCTTACTTTTATTATTCTATCCTACTTAACTTCCCTTGAAAAATTACCGACACCGTGTCTCACACGCTGGATTCCGTGCGCGGCTGCGAAAAAAGGATGGCGACCGACTTCATAATGCCTAGGCCAGCTGAGCAGCCGCAGCCACAGGCGCATTTCTACCCTTATCGCCAAACACCTACCGCGCCGTCGCAATCTCCGACCTATCCATCTCAAGGATACCATTCTCAACAGATCTCGCCTTTGAGCACTTCTACCAACGCCTCACCTACCTCCCCCAAACCGTATCATCGCCAGCGTTTACGACCGCTCTACATGCCTGCGGTTTTAAGACCGAACGAGCACCCCTACAAGATAATTGGGAGGAAGACGGAAGCACAGGAAGATGATAATCCGTTATCGTCTAACAACAGCTTCATCAGCCTGGCCGGATTGGGCGCGCTTAGCCGACTGAGCCGCCGTACTACAGGTGACAGCGGAAAGTGTGTAGATGATGAATGGGACTTGGATATGTTTCCAAAGCCGACGGCGCAACCCACGCGGCAACACTGGAAGGTAAGTCCCGATCGGCAGGCTGTGTCTCAGATATGCAGCCTTACAGACTGCGACATGTCAACACATGACCTCATTCTAGTTTTCATGGTATTACAAGAATTCCAGCTGACATCGTAAATTTAGCCCGACCCGGAATCAACTATCTGCGACGAGCCCTCATGTATGCGCCACTTCAACTACTGGACACGCCGGCATCATTGTCGGAAATGTGGCAACATCTTCTGCGATTCGCACTCGGCATACGATGTTCCTCTCGATCAAGACGCGAATTATAACCCGAAAGGTACTCCGAGCCGCGCATGTTCTCACTGTTTTTCAGAGTTCAGAGCGTGGCGTAGTCGGACAAATAGCCAAGCTTCTAGCGACACGTCTTCCACTGGTAGAGGGTCGCAAACCGCACCCACGAGCCCAGCCGCTTCGGCCCCGACGGCAATACAAGGTCAGCATGGCCATCAACAGGACATCGCGATGAGCGTTCCACGGGACTGGAACTGGAGTACCTTCTAATCGGTTTGGAATTGGATGTCTCCGTTACGGATATAAATATCCTTTCTCACTCGATACCAGGTGTCTGCGAATCCGGATTAGCCCCTACGTCAACTTCTCAGAGAGGATTCTACAGGCCTAATTAATGATACACGAGACAACGGATCTAATCACGGCAACAACTTTCCCCGCGACGACGGGTTATACATATAACATTCACATAGACTAGAAATTTCCAGGATAGACTGGAGCTACGGTACAGATGCATATTTCTGTACAAATCTCATGCATTGCATGGTGGTATCATTGTTGGATTTCTTTTCGACCTACGATACCCAACTTTCAAGTACTAATTTCGATATCGAGTTCCATTGAGGGGCAGGGGGGTGACATGCGCAAGGGAGAGGTTATGCCATTGGTGTGGAATACATCCTGCGGCAAGGTGACTACGGGCGTTTTTTAATGATAGAGGGACCGGTCAGGTAGCGTGCATATCACGGGCATTAGAAAGGGATCTTGTTTAGCCCCGGCGTTCAGGTGTTTTCGATACGCATAGTTGAGTCGCATAGTTGACATAGTTGAGTTGAGTGCCCAACCTTCGGGCAGCTCGGTTGCAACGCCGTTGACGATAACGGAGGGTTTGCGCCGAGTAGATTGATTAATCCGAGTTGATTTTTCAGATCACGATCTACTACCTACTTGGGTTTCTAATCCAACGCATGGACTGTAGCGTTCGTCATTTATGATAAAGATCAAGTGTGGTAGCCTTCCGGTATTTTAACCGCCATGCTACTCCGGGGCAGTGCCGCAGCCAATCTCGGGGTCTCGATGATAAACCTCCCAGCAATATCTCTCAGTAACGTCCCAGCAGCTCAGCTACCGTACTTAGCGGCATGCCTGCTTAGGTTTACCGGCATGGTACGCAAGAACATGCCCTGCTGGGAGGGTCGGTGAGACTCCGAGGTGCCTACCTGCATAAATTCGATCTGGGCAATCGAAGATTCCCATCAATTGATGTTTAGGTAGGTACCTACCTACGTATGTACATACTTCGTACATGTAGTAGGTATCTAAAGCAGGTAGCCATGCTGGCATGTTGGAAAGAAAAGCCGAAGGCGGCAAGCCCGACGCTAGCCCTAGCACGCTGCGCCGACACCAAAACCAGGTTGGCGGATCCGGCTGTAGCCGCTAAAGTGCCTAGCTCGTCCCTTTTTGGGGGGCAACACCCCCACATAGACGGTTAACGGTTACCCTTTACTCCTGACATCCGAGGCCGAGGCTGTTGCCACGACAAACGACGCGTGAGAGCCTGCGTACACTATAGTATAGTATGCATGTACGAGGGAAAACGCGTCTGCGGGATGGGCCTAACTTGTTTTTGTAACGCGAAGGCGCCACTGTAGTTCCTATCGGATAAGATAGTAGGCACGCAGGCCGCCGATGATGCCGGCACAAGCGGATACCTGCTTCGGCGCCGCATCTCTGCGGCTTTCCGGTCTCCGCAGGCATCGTGGCTGACGCTAGTTAGGGGCGGCTTCTCGCCACTAGGTACGCAATTAAGTGTGGATGTGGATGCGGATATACATAGGTATTGTTGGCGGTGGCGTAACTGACATATAGTAGCTGAGGTGAGATAATTATGTATATACATAGTGGACGAGCGTATTCGTAAGCCAATATCGAGTGTCAGGCCAGTCGTGTCTGTGCCACGGCGTGGGGGGATTGGGGCGTCTTGCTCGGGGATAGCTTCACCGGTGTGTATTTTCCGATGACGCTGCTCGGTTGTTTCGCTTCGGGTGCATAGTTCAGATGACTGGATGAGGTTGTGATACCGACCAAGTCGACGTAGTGGCATAGCGAAAGCTGTCCTTGGCTATTAAAATAGTCTCAACTTGGAGTTACGCCCGAGTTCAGCATATGCCCTGGTCCCGAAGAAGTCTTCAGTAGGTAGTCAACGAGAATACCATTAGGCAGTACGTACCAGACGGCATATCTGATCCAGGATACACCCCCAGGCACTCTCTATGTTTCGTACCTAGCCGTAGCGGGTTTGCTTTAGTTATCCCTTACATGAAATGCCGAGCGCTATAGTCTCAGTAAGTTTCTCGCCAGCCATTAATTATATAAGTCATGTAATAGAGTTGAAGGTCAATATGAGGTATACTGTTGGACTTGAGCTATCTTCAACTTGAAGGGCCGATATGAATAAAGGGAACCAGCGATGTTACATTAAATCAATGTGATATCGGAGCTAGTCGTACGTAACTGTTGTCACCATTTCAGAATAAACTTGAAAATGACTGTTGAGTGGCACATGACAGCTGTTGCTGCGGTCTTCGCAATGTTCGTAGCACCATATATAGGTAGTTACAATACTAGAGATTTAGCATCTGGCCTGCTTCTATATATGTAATAGATCCGCGCGATACTAACTAGGGCCGAGTCAGAATACGCATTGCCATGCTGCCTACCTTAGTATTTTGGCCCTTTCACGGCTGGGGCTAACATGATCTTATCACTCTGTTATCAAGTGACTAAAATACACCGCGAGCTGGTTAGGTTATTGCTGTAGGATTACTGAAATCCGATTTGTAGTACTAGAGACAGGTGTTTCGATAGACCAAATATACAAGCTCCTACGCGTAGAGCACCGTGACTACATCCAAGAAAACACTGCCTCTCACTTGCTGAACAAATACAATTATCCCACACCTATAGGACTCAGAGCTTAAGAGCCCGGCCTAGTAGCCATAATTGCCTTACGATATTCTTATATCATATTGAGAAGGATCGTCCGTATGGTATTAACTAAATCAAAGAAACTCTTACCTACCCACCCGGTAGCCCCTTTAATCCAAGTTGTCAATATTGTTTCCCATATTAGTAGAATCATAACCCTATATCTCCCATGTAACTATGGTCAAAGTATTCATATAAATTCGATTACAGTTAGAATCTTACCTAGGTGGTTGGGACAAAAGAAAGGGGGGAGTGAACCATCTTCGATCATGTTTGTAAAGAGAGACGCAACATTTCGTAGTAAATAGTACTTTCCAGAGCATGTCACTGTGATACAAGAGTCTAGTGGAAGGGAATCAGGAGTGCTAGGTAATAAGCTGATCATCTTATTGACGACTATATCCTAATCTCGGCTAGATGAACCTAGCATAAAGTCTGACTATATTATGGTGACTGTTCCAATATACTAATAATTTCTGACATGCGACCTTTCTTTACAAAAGTGCGTTGGTAGTTATGGTTCTACCTTAGGAATCCCAGAAGTATTGCAACCCTGAGCCTCACAATACCATTCACTCCATTTGGTTATTCCTCTGAATATGCTAGCAGGGTGATGCGTTGCTTCATACAAACTCTGAATACCTCATCCTACTCATACTTCGTTTCCCCATGTGTTGTCCAAATCACCCCTTTTACCGCCATCTTCTTCACAGATATTCCTTTCGCCTCGCAAGCAAACACCACCCATGTTGTTATGTTCATGCTTTAAGCACCAGCCTAGACACTAAACGTAAAAGTATATAAACTATCTCTTTCTCTCAAAATTTACGATTTCCCAGGGCATTCCTTCTAGTCTTTTCCTTCCCTAAACAACAACAACAACAACATGAGCCACAACACTCACCAAACGATTTTCCGTAGCAACAACCCCTTTTCATTACTTGATATTGAGTAAGTGCATTCCTTTTCTCCTATATTATACCTTAGGTACCTATATAAACATTAGCTTACCCCTATCCCTAACCTCCCTATCCCGCGGATATCCTAATCCGTGCCTTCCTCATGTCTTTTTATCAAGGCTCATCTCCCCGTTTTCTAACTACTAACTATATACTTAATTAGTGACGGCCCTGAGTCTACCAACTATCCAGCAATAGAGGCTCGTAAGATCATGAGCGACGAAGAACAGAGGAGTGCCGGCACCGTCCTCGCTCCTTGGGCCGGTTACGCAGCGAACGGACGAATGATCCGAACGCTTGGTCAAATCTGGGCTCAATCTGGAGAAGCCGTGTCTGCTTTCGTTGAGAATATCTTCGAGTCGGAGTACTTGGGCCATGGCTTGAAGGCTTTTGAAGGTCTCCCTGCCTGGGCCGTCCCGCTTCCCGAGGACTTCGACGAGGAGAAACATGTTGGTATGTATATTTCTTGCGAGACGGTTTTGGTCTCATCCTATTTATACTTTCTACAAGACCTTGCCACTGTGAATTCCTTTTCCTGATACTTCCACCGTCTCCGTCCCTTTTCAGCGTACCAAGAAGTATAAAACAACGTCGTGTAACTTGTCCTGTGAGGAGAAAGGAATATTACTAACTTCATGGAACACTAGGCTGGGCGACTCATAAGTATGCCTTGGAGAGGCGACTTCACGTCTGCATTGAAATTGACCCATCGCCTAAGCAGGCCTGGCTCAAGCCCATCCTGGATACTACCATGGAGAACTGGATTCGCGACCCTAAGAAGCGTCTTTACGGTGTCAATAAATTGTGGGTAGCATATGACTTCCTCTGCTACTGGGCTCTAGATGTGGCCAGAACCGGGATAACGTGCCCCTTACTCTTTGCTCTGGATAACTACACCCAAAACAGTATCTACAATTTTCGTCTCTCTGTGAACGAACAGGTGAAGCTCTACGAGGAATGTGTAGGCAGCCATGCGACCGGCACGGACGAAGGTTGGATCATGTACAAAGGCAAGGGTAAGGAGACCACGGCTACCAACGTGAAACCTGCTTTTAGGGATGATAAACCAAATGACGAAGATGAAGACATCCGCTCTCGCAGTGCGGCTGCCGAGCCTCATGTTTCGAAGTGGCATGGACACAGATCTTCCAATCTTACTATCAGACACCAACCCGGCTCAACCTCAACCGTACCATCCACCCCCACACCACGCCAACAATTCAGCTTCACACGTCGACGTGCCGAGCAAAGCACCATCTCGCCTTCCCCAGCCCCCTCCAGCACCCCACAAGCAAACCCATTTAACCCAGGCCCCGCGGAGCCGAAAACGCCCGAAGACGCCATCGCGCAGATGGCCGAAGCGACACGCAGCGGCGTCAGGGCCAACTCCTTCAAAACCTGGTCCCACTTCTTCGAGACGCAGATAGCGCGGTACGACGAGCTATCCCGGGGATCCGCGGTGTGGCCCAC